AAAATATATTTTAAACATGGGTAAATCAATGTGTTTGTCAATCAACTCAATTGTAAATCAAATTTTATTGATCTCCTCAAATTTCCCGAGTTCCGAGTTCCGGGACCCCCGAACCCCGAAACCCGAGACCTGGCAGTCCACAATTTGGGGTTCGGGGGTTGGTAAAATGTGTATGGATATATGAAAGGTTGATTGAAACATCTCTGAAAGATGTCTCATATCAAATGTCAAGTCCCGAGTTTTGATTTCCAGGTTTCAGGACTCCGGGTTTCAGGACTCCGGGCTTCAGGACTCAGCACTCTTGAAACCCAGAAATCAAAACTTGGGACTTGATATTTGATAGAGACATCTTTTAAAAATGTTTAAACCAACCCTTCATATATCCATACACATTTTACCAACCCCCAAACCCCAAATTTGTGGACTGCCGGGTTTTGGGGTTCGGGGGTCCGGGGGTCCCGGAACTCGGAACTCAGAATTTGGTATGTAAGACAACAAAAATATCTTTCAGGGTTCAGGGGTTAGTGAAATGTTTATAGATATACGTAGGTTAATTCAAACATGTCTGAAAAATTCCATCCATCTCAAATGTCAAATCCTGAGTTCCGGGCTTTGGGACTCGGCACCCGGCACCCAGCAGTCAGGGTTGGGGGTTCGGCACTGAAAATTTGACATTCGGGTGTTCAGGTTTCGGGTGATATCTAAATCAACAACTTCGAGTTCTGCCAAAGCGTGAAACTTGAAACCCAGTGTGCAACATGTTGATTTTTCATTTATATCACACAAATCATCGAGTTCCGAGTGCCGAGGGCTGAGACCCAAAGCCTGAGACCCGAAAATATGTACACAACATGTCCATTTTTCACTCACTGCACAAATCATTGAGTTCCGAGTGCCGAGGGCTGAGACCCAAAGCCTGAGACCCGAAAATATGTACACAACATGTCCATTTTTCACTCACTGCACAAATCACCGAGTTTCGAGTGCCAAAGCGTGAAACTTGAAACCCAGTGTGCAACATGTCCATTTTTCATGTACATTACACAATTCATTGAGTTCCGAGTGCCAAGTGCCGAACCTCGAACCCCGAGACCCGAAAATATGTATGCAACATTTCCATTTTTCACTTGTTGCACAAATCACTGAGTTTCAAGTGCTGAAACCCAAAACTCGAAACCTGGTGTGCAACATGTTCATTGTTCATTTACATTACACAGATCATTGAGTGCCAAGGGCAGAATCCTAAAACCCGAAGCCCAAAAACATGTATGCCACATGCCCATCTACTCATTGCACAAATCACCAAGTGTCGAGTGCTGAAACCCGAAACCCGGTACTTCAAATGGACATGGATTCTATATTTGTATGTATTATCCATTGGTGTAGGGTTGAAATAACTTGGGAATTGTATTTGTCAGTGCTCGGTACTCGGTAGTTGGTAGTTGGTGGTCGGTAGTCAATATAGGCAAATGATAATGACAAATGAAAGTTGTTATTATGCTTAACTTCCTTACAGAAGGTTGTAGTCCGAGTCTAAAGGAGTGTATTGGTAGTCCTTTCTTGTCCATCAGTTATCATTTAACCGAGATATAAGCTAAAGAAATCTGAAACATCGGTGATAATGAAAAATGAAAGTTATTATTATGTTTAAGTTCCTGAACAAAAGTTGTAGTCTGAGCCAAGGTGAGTGTATTGGTAGTTTTTTCTTGTCAATTGGTTATCTCATTACTCGGTACTCGGTACAAGGGAATCAGTACTCGGTATTTGGTTCTGTTACTCAATACCCGAGAATCAGTAGTTGGGTACTTGGTACTTGGTTCTGATACTTGGTACCCGAGAATCAGTAGTCAGGTACTTGGTACTTGGTTCTAATTCTCGGTACCTGGGAATCAATAGTTGAGTACTCCAGCCAATAGTCCCGAGTCCCGAGTACTGATACTTGGTATTCGGTAGTCAGGTTTGGAACTTGGGTCTTGGTTTGGTTATCATTTGACTGAGATATTGGTAGGCAATATTGGCACTCGGAGCTCAAATACTGACTATCAACTATCAAGTGTCGGGACTTGGTAATCGGTAGTTGAGACTTGGTGCTTAAATGGATATTGCATATATACATAAAAATACAAAATATGTTCCTATGTGTTCATTTCTAGGTGAATAGACTTTGAAATTATATCTCAATCATCTATTCAACAATAGAAACAATGTATCAGGAGCTCAGGACCATAGGGTAATCCTTTATTGTATAGTGTACCTCCCCCTCTTCTGGTGGTTCATCTGCTGAGGGTTTTTCCCTGTAAAGCTGGACCTCAAGGACTGTAGGGAGTATATTCCTGAGCATATTTGGAGTAGATATATCATATAACCAGCCCAGGACACACAGGATCCTTCTCCAGGAACAAAGCATAGACAATTGCACTTGTGACATTTTTTCACAATTTTCAGTATCTTGCCCTTGCATCCATGATCCAACCTTTTAATATATAATGAGCATAGCTTATATTCTTGCTTCTTATGACCAAGATCAGCTCACAATAGGCTGGAGTTTGTGAGCTAGTGTGTATACTTGCCATTTTGCCTGATAAGGGGCCCATGCCTTCAAAACATTGAATTTTCATAATCAGAAACCTGGGGTGCATTTCAAATATTTTAAGTATCATAGACATAAATTTACAGACAAATCAACAGAATTGAGCACTGAGGAAGTGAAATGGGTAAGAAATGTGGGAAACTTTAAAGATCCAAAGCATCGAAAATGGTTAGTTGAGCAGTGGTAGGACTTTAATGCTGGGTCAACTCATATTTTCACTATATCCCTTCTACCCACCCCCTATCCTCAGGGCAGTAGGCAGTATGGGTTCCTTGGGTAGTTTACAATCTATCCTACATATTTGTTATGATATTTTCGGCCTGAATCATATATAAATGTGACTTTGTATAAAAGATGTCTACTGTCACTCTCCACACATATGTCATTTTGCCTATCATTACATCAATCCTTCATGAATATTTCTAAGCTTTTAAGCTATTATAATGGATGTATATGGGTGTTATTCCAGGTCTCTGATCACATCACAGGCTTGTTATGTTGGATATCTCGACATAATGTGCAAGTCTCACTATTAATATTCATTCTTTTATCTTTAGACTCACTTACTGCACACATATATTTCATTTGTCATTATTGATGTTTTGGATTTATTTAGCTTATATCTTGGTCACATGGTAACCAATGGACGAGAAAAGACTACAAATAAACTCACCTAGACTCGTACTACAACCTTCATTAAGCTGACTACTGATTCCCAGATACTGAGTATCAAAACCAAATACTGAGTACCAATTACCATGTACCGAGTACTGCGTAATGAGTAACAAGATAACCAATTGACAAGAAAAGACTACCACTACACTCACCTGGACTTGGACCACAACCTTTGGTAAGGAAGTTAAGCATAATAACAACTTTCATTTTTTCATTATTGCTGATGTTTTGCTGAATGACAAGGAAAGACTACCAAATCACTCACCTTGACATGGACTACAACTGTCATTTTTCATTATCATTTGCCTATATTGACTACTGAGTCTCGAGTACCAACCACTGACCACCAATCACCGAGTGCCGAGTACCAAGTACCAATAGGGAATAGCGTGGGTGAACCCCGGGGTATGAGTAGCACTACCCCCACCCATACCCCATGATATACCCACACCCACCTTGTGGGTGTGGGTTTTTTGGTGGGTATCAGGGAGAAACTACCGAGTCTTGAGTACCAACCACTGACCACCAATCACCGAGTGCCAAGGACCGAGTACCCAGTACCGAGTACCGAGTACCGAGTACCGAGTCTCGAGTCCTGAGTCCTGAGTCCTGAGTCTCAAGTCTCGAGTCCCGAGTCCTGAGTCCCGAGTACCGAGTACCGAGTACCGAGTACCGAGTCCCAAGTACCAACCACTGACCACCGATCACTGAGTGCCAAGTACCAAGTCCCAAGTCCCAAGTCCCAAGTCCCAAGTCCCAAGTACCGAGTACTGACAAATACAATTCCCAGGTTATTTGAGCCCTACACCAATGGATAATACATACAAATACAATTTGTGTCCATTTGAAGTACCGGGTTTCAGGTTTTGACACTCGACACTTGGTTATTTGTGAAATGAGTGAAAAATGGACATGTTGTGTACATGATTTTGGGTTTCAGGCTTTGGGTCTTGGCCCTCGGCACTCGGAACTCGATGATTTGAGTAATGTAAATGAAAAATCAACATGTTGCATGCCGGGTTTCGAGTTTTGGGTTTCAGCACTCAAAACTCAGTGATTTGTGCAGTGAGTGAAAAATGGACATGTTGTGTACATATTTTCGGGTCTCGGGGTTCGGCCCTCGGCACTTGGAACTCGATGATTTGTGTGATATAAATGAAAAATCAACATGTTGCACACTGGGTTTCAAGTTTCACGCTTTGGCACTCGAAACTCGGTGATTTGTGCAACAAGTGAAAAATGGAAATGTTATATACATATTTTCGGGTCTCGGGGTTCGGGTTTTGGCACTTGGCACTCGGAACTCAATGAATTGTGTAATGTACATGAAAAATGGACATGTTGCACACTGGGTTTCAAGTTTCACGCTTTGGCACTCGAAACTCGGTGATTTGTGCAGTGAGTGAAAATGGACATGTTGAACAATGGGTTTCAGGGTCTTGGGTTTGAAAAATAGCATAATAACAACTTTTATGTTTTCATTATCATTTGCCTATATTGACTACCAAGTCTGATAAGAGACCTCTTGGATAATTCATTGCTCAATGAAATACTACCTGATTGGAAGTGTGCTGGTTATCAGATATTCATTTGTCGACTCCCGGGTCCCGGAACTCGGAAGTCGGTATGGTTGACCCAAATTTGGGTGGTCGGAACTTGGCGTCTCATAGGGCAACACAAGCTTCACACCCTGGATTCCAAATTCTGCAAGACAACCTGTGCACCATCAAAGGCCATGTCAGGAGATCACCTGCTACTCCGGGAACTCGGGAACTTTGATTTATTACCTCCTCTGAGTACGGTTGACCCAAAGGTTGGTAATCGGAACTTGGCTTCTCATAGGGTAACACAAGCTTCGCACCCCGGATTCCAAATTTTGCAAGACAACCTGTGCACCATCAAAGGCCATGTCAGGAGATCACCTGCTGCTCCAGGAACTTGGTAACTTTGATTTTATTACCTCCTCTGATTTGGTTGATGTACAACTACCTCAGCTCCATCATGTCTACAATTATGATACACATGGGCCCACCCATCTATATTTTATACCACTCTCGGCCCACCCGTCTAATACAACATCCCATACAACATCCTCAGCCCACCCATCTAATACAATATTTTATAATACCCTCAGCCCACCCGTCTAATTTAATATGTGTCTGGGCCCACCTGTGAATGTGATAACAAGTACCTACCCATCTATCTCATACACATCTACCTTAATACACCCATCTGCATAATATCCAACTACCTTGGCCCACCCGTCTACCTAATATTCATGTACATCGGCCCACTCATCTACTCTATATATCCCCTGCATGGGCCCACCCACCTCCATTGGGAATAATTTGCCTCCCGGCCCATCCGTCATAGTCGAGGATATTTTTATCATGGGCCCATGGTCCGCTGGCCTGTATCATACGGGATATTATGCACATCCGTTCCCTCATACTATATGGAGATAGGTCATTGTAATATGTGAACATGCTCGCTCTCCACGTCCATTTCTCCACACTGCACACCATTCTGATAGGTTTGGGTTCAAGCTGCCATCTACTACTGACACTTGGGACCTAACCCGACCTGGTTGCAGCTAGAACAAGACTAGAGAGACAGAGAAAGACTCACCTGATCGTGATGAGCTCGAGTATGACGCTTATGACAATGACATGCAAGACGATGAAGATCTCTTTAGAAATCCTGATGACAGCTACCAGCAACATAGACAAGATGATGAGCAGGACCACAAGCAGGACAACAAGCAGGACAATGATCAGGACAACAAGCAGGATGACGATCAGGACGACCAGCAGGACGACGATAAGGATGATGATCAGGACAAATATGAACAAGAAGACCATGAACAAGATAAACGCAGTGAACGATATTCAATGGAGGATCTGCAAACAGGTCGTTATGATGATGATGATCTGATGGAATCAGACCAAAACCAAGGCGAGGATTCCCAAGCAGACAATGAATGTATCAATTCAGGTGTTTTTGATGTCCTTGAGTGGCACCAGGTGAAAAATGGATGGCGCAAGGCTCCTTCACCCAGCCATCTATCAAGTGTAACATTTTTTTCACACTTGAACTTGCAAATACTGACCTGACTTGCCCTAGTCCTTTCGCAGGCACTCGTGTCTGTGTTCTTGCTCGAAGTCTCCCCATCAATACACAAACAAACATGTAAGTTCTCATTTTTACCAAAGCATGTTTTTAATCTCTTCCAACTAGGCGTCTCATCGGCGATCTATTGAGAGTATCTGTGCTCCATCCACTCATGTAAAACATCTGTGTGTGGCTCAAAATGTGTTGTCTACAAAATGTTCTGCTCAAAGACCTCCAAGTCAGGGTTCTTCTGCTACTTGCTCCAAGTCTCTGCATCCAAACATTTCCTGTGCTTCCACCAGTGGACTTTCTCCCTCGTCAGCGCTCCCCAACTCAATCAACCCTTGTCAATGGCTCTAAATCTCCACGTTCAAGCATTTCTTGTACTTCCACCAGTCACACGCAGCCCCCCTCTCATGGGCACTCCTTATCAAAGGCTCCACCTAGCCATGTTGCTTGGTCAGATCATGTGCCTTCCACTTCTCCTACTTCAGGCCATTCTTGATCTCGTAGTCTTGCGCCCAATGAGGGTGACCAGCCCAAGCACCAAGTGGAAAGGACAAGCAAACAAGCAAACCCCTCGAAGCTTGGATTTTACCTGACCTGTTGGCAGACATTTCTTCAGGCGGCAAAGTTGGAAATGTGCCTGCAGGCTGTACTAATGGACCCAATTCCAGAGCATTGTGACGCGGTAGGACTCACACAGGAAGTTCTGGATGCAGAGTTATGGAAATACCACTCAAAGAAGATTGGGTTGGAGAATGGTAAGTTCCTCCATACTACCTGAGGTTGTTGCAATCTGATGTCCCTAGGATATTTCCCGGAATATCGTGACCAGATGTCACACTTGGTGAGTTCAGGTATTGTCTGGATGTACTAGCTGACAAGTCATCAGCTCTGTGATGACTTGTTTACATTCCAGACGGAACTCAAGAAAGTTATCATCTCTATTGTGAAACAACTATACAACATCTTCCCGAGAAGCAGTGTGATGCACGGGGACTCGGTGCAGAAATGTGTTACTGAAGCAGCATCTAAACTGATTAGGTCCGGTGACTACCTTCAGCTTCCTGACTCATCCAAGGTTAGTGATGACTGTGGGGCGGCAACTTATTGTATTGATTTTTTTAGGGTAGGTACAAGAACTTCGTATTGCAAGTTCTTAAAGATGGATGTCTATATTTTTACTACGGCAATGGCAAAAAGCATTGAAGTTGATGGAGGAATTTCAATGCTCAATTCCCGTCAATGGCCTCATTCTTGTAGCCGCAGTTGTATGATTATTTTAATTCATTTATTCCTACTGCTGATCAGTCTCTACAGGTGAAGGGTGTTCTGAGTGGTTTCCGTGACACCAGTACAGACAAAGTCCCAGATCTCTCTGCTGATAGATGCAGATCCGATTTTAACTCCCTATGAAAATCCATTGATACATTGATAGATATTCCTGAGTGCCATCAAGAGCTGGAAGAGATGTTGGAGGAATGGGCCGAGTTTGGGATGATGAGTGGGGTTCGCAATGGTTTGGACAGTGGCTCAGCCAAAGAGGATGTCAACATTATCATATAGCACTTTAGTAATAGTCTTTTGAATGGCATCATTGCTGTGTGGTCTATCCAATTGTCTCTCATTTGTCAACATTGTCAACACTGTTTAGTTTGTCTAGGTCTGTCTACATTGTCCAACCTGTCCTATCTGTCCAGTGTGTCCACACTGTGCCTATATGTACAGATTGTGACCCTTTGTTACAAGCTTGTAAAGAGGGGACATTATTGTAGATTTGTGCTGTTTGTACAAGCCTGTATAATCTTGTACAATGACCCCCTAGTTTTCTGATGTAGTTCCCAAACATCAGCATCACTTTTCTCTTTGGAATCCAATTTGCAAGGCTTGGTGGGGGAGAGTATAACTGACACTGGCAAATCTGTGTTGTCCCGAGTTTGTGATCTGGTCTGTTTGGAAGGAGTGCGAGGGTTAGAGGATGCCATACCAATGATACCATTCATGGACTCAAAATCTCTCTCTTATAATAGCATTATCAGTCGAAAATATTGAATTTGGGTCGTTAGTCCGATAGTTATGAGGCTGAAGATGCAATTTTGGAGTAGTTGTCAAAGTTGGCATGTCATTTGACGTCAGCTACAACAGTACCTGATGTCAATAGATATTAATGTACAGGCTGGTAGACACAAAGGCTTAAGCTTGACCAAATACTAGTAGTGACCTGTGGATAGCTCGAAATTTGGATGTTGCTGCCCATACCTGCCTGGGTCATACACCCAAGCCAACCCATGACCTGTAGCACCCGACCTGCATGCTACCCGCAGGTTCCACCCGGGTAGGTGCCCAGGCACTCTCTACTCATGTCAGGCCCTAAGTCACTGCAGCCAGCAGCAGTGGCTGCATCGGTACAATCTCATCCTTGGACAATGTTAGCAGTGCTACCCAATGCACGACAGTGAATATTAATGTGTTCACCGTCCCTGCTGGAAGAACATTCGAACTGCAGCTGCTGGATGGTACCACTGTCAAATTTTGTGAGTGTGATCTTATACTTTGCTTTGTGTATCCCTGATTCTTTTTTTCTTTTTAGTGGGCGAGATTCAGTTCGGAAATTTGAGCTGGACCGGCCCCCTATTCCGGGTGATGTGAGTGCAGGCACTACTACTTCAAGTGGCTCGGAGAACCTGATCAAGGCCATCTTGACAGAGGAATGATGTTACTTGTACGTGTGTTATTTGAAGTTGTGGCAATCCCTAATGTTCTCAGTCAATGGAAACAACCAGAGGTGGGATGGTGGAGGACCTTTTTACTGGGTAAATACACTGGTTCACTCATGAGGATTTCACTTCATGTTACACTGATACAGGACGGTCAAGGTTCCAATGGTGGTGTCACAAAACCATGCCCAATGATGCAGTAAGCTCATTAGTTACTGTTGTACTACGTTCTTTTTTAATCTTACATCTGCCAGAATATTGATTTCGGACACCTTGAATGTATGTGCTCGAATCGTTCCAGCCGTTCCAGACAGATCGCTAATCTGTTTATGCAGGATGTTTATGTTGTAAACTCTCCAGCCCATGTCTTTTTTGGCATTCTGATCACCCAGGTATGTGTGTTACACCACACTTTCCCGTCATCAATCATATAACACATCTACAGAGCTATCCCTCTAACCTGGGTACCCCGGGCAATGGTGCCACTATCACTGTATGTGTTCTTTCAGTTGTATGTTGGCAAGGGTTTCATGGGTTGTCTCAGGATATCAACTTCAATCATAGCACCACTTCCTTGATGGCCGACAGCAGTGCTTACAGGGTTGCAGTGAACTGTGGAAGTGGATCGTGCACAGGTACATGAGTTACAGTTTCTCTCAGTCCATTTCTGACATACGATGATAGGTGACTGGGATTGGTCTGGTTTGCAGACAAGTGGTGGTAAAGCTGGATCCATCACCAACAATAATCTCATTACTGGATTCATTGACACACAGTGAGGTGACCCACCGTGTGTTGATATATACACTTGCTATTAATTCTCCTGTCGTACTTGCTTGTTGGAACTATATAGTAATTTACCACATCACTCAACCTAGACTCATATTGAGTTAGACTAGACTCACCTTACTCGAAGTTGTCCTAGTTACCTGGTGCTTAGCTTCCTTGTAGTCAAAAAGCATATAGCTGCATGCAGATATTGTGTTATAGTGGGGTGGCGCCCTTATTTGTGCATGTTTGGTTTATGTTAGACAGTGTACATGGCCAAACATGGATTTTGCTTTACCTAACATTCACCTGAGTGTCATTAATATTACTAATTAGTAAATGTATCACATACCCCATCAGCAGGCCCATCCTTTTACTAATTAGTAACAAATATTACTGTCCCCTCATACTAGCAATAATATCAGCAAACTGGCAGTCCCTTTGGAAAAATCAGAGCTCCCTACAGCTTATTTAATATGGATGAGGCACTGTTGCCTTACTACCTTATAATAAATAGGTATGATCAGACATTTCTGGTTATGGCACTGATTCACTATGCCACACCTTCTCACAACAACAATCTCACCTGTGCTTGTTGTGTGTGACGTTGAGCTCCATTTTTCACTCATTTTCTACCCAAATTTCCCCAGACCTTTTCTGTTTTATCTTTCCATGCAATTGATATGGTATCCCACTTTCCATGACCTCTCATTATTGCTGGATTGTCATGCAGGTTGTCTGTTGTGGTGAGCTCGTTGTTTCACTCGTTGTTTATCATCTTCATATCTGCCTTTTCACTATAGTACATGCATGTGCACAGCTCTCTGACCGCTCGCTATTCCCATATTCTCGTGCTTGTGGTCTGTCATGGTTTGCACAACTCATTGTCTCAATATTTATCATCTAGTCTGTAACATCCATATTTTCTGATCTTCTGACTCAACTGGTTCTTTATAGCATTCAGGTAGATACTGTCATTGGCATGTGCCTTGCAGATGCCTCATATCCAACTGTGTCTGCATGCTGCATGACAGGCTCAAATGCCGTCGTTTACCCAGGCAAGACAATATCATCTTCATATGGGTTCTGTCGCTTTCCATACTCACTGCCTTCAACATCACCATCGTCCATGACCACTGCACTGTGGGAGGTCTTGTAAATGGCTTCAGAATGTCACTCTCATTCTTACCATGGAAACAGAATCCTTGTTTATTGTCCATGGTTGATGTTGGTGAGTCCCCTTCCATTGAATGGATGGCTGCTTATTTGTTCAGGCAGGACAATTTCGTCTTCATATGGATTGTGTGGATTTCTGGACCCACCACCTTCAACCTCGCCATTCAGCTGTTGGTGAGTCCTTTCCATTGAATGGATGATCACTTATTCACCTAGGCAGGACAATATCATCCTCATATAGATTGTGTAGCTTTCTGGACCCACCACCTTATGCTTGTTGCTCACCAAAATCTCCAACTACCCAGGACTTGACTTTGAGTGCAAAGCACTTCGGCTCCATGCTGAGAACATCTTTGATGAATGACCCAACTTTTGCTGTGTAAAAGAGCTTTGGTTTGTGGTACTGCTTGACATCACCTCAAATAGCAAGATACATTTCCTTGAGGCCCATTCATGCTTGAATGCTAGCCCACTGTTCAACTACAAGTAAATTGCATTTTTATGTATTATTTCGTAGCAGTACCTCTGTCTGCATTGTTTTGAATGTTGTGTTGACATCCTTTTGTAGTGCCTTAGGGTTTGCATGTGTAACCTTCACATGTGACTGGCAATATGTGTTGATGTTCTTCTGCAGGCGGTTCTTGTCGACCAACATCAAGCGCAAATAGGCCAATGTTAGTTTTGAACTGCGGGCCTTGATAAATGCAGGAAGCTTCAATTGATCCCCCAGTGCACGTCCTTTCATTCACATGAGTATCAGTGTGAATATTTTATTAGTTAGTACCTTTGTTCTCCTCATCCAGTTTTTGTCTGACAAATGCATTTCAAGGATTAGCATGGCATCTGTTGAAGACACCTTTGCCAGTATAGGGCTGCCTTTGCATCCACTTCAAGCTTCTGTCCGAGAGTGAGTACTATGAGTTTCTTCATGAAATAGTTGATCTTTGTTTTTGTGTTTTTGATTCCATTTCTGTCCTTTGCAGAGCGGAGCTCTATGGAGGACAGTTCTGTCTAGTCTAGTCTAAGCTATTGGGACCCCTTGTGTCCCTTATAGTACCGGGTTCGCCAATGTCCTGGTGTGAGACGTGTCTCCACCAGTCTGCTGTTCCCGCCGACCGTTTTAGATGCACCACCCGTTTAAAGATAAGACCTTTGTATCAGTGCGTGAGTATGGGATGCTAACAGTTATCATTTATATACACGTACTCGGTTGCCGAGGGCGAGCTGGTACAGGAATTGTTGGGTTTATGCAGGTGTAAATGTGGGTGGTCCTTTGTGTGCGCAGTGAGGGCCTTCTGACATTTATGTTTTGCGTTCCTCTTGATGGGGATTCCGTATAGGCGAGTGATTTGTGGTACATTGTGATACAGTTTGGTGGTGTGGGGTGATGGTACAGTATGAGCATTTGAGAATGGGGTAGCGTATAGTATCTGGCATGTTCTTCTTGTGCTTGAATGTTTTTCTACAGAGGGGGGAGGGGAGAGAGATGCTGCATTAATCTGAAGGTTCGCGAGGAAGCAGGAGTTCACCGTAAGTTTTTCTGAGTCGTCCTGTCGTGTTTAGGAACCGTGTGAGATGAAGGGTTGCCCCTACATCTGATAGAAGATATGGTAGCAATGACACCTTTCTGCCCAGGGCTAAGGTGAGGATATGTCATTCTCTGTGATACTGTGGGCAGTCCAGTATATAGTGGGCAACTGTTTCATTCACTCCCAGGCAGTGCGGACAGGATGGCATCGGGTGTTTGCCTATATGATGAAGATGCTGGTTGAGAGGGATGTGCTGGGAGCGTAGTGTGAAGTAGACACCTGTTAGCCGTTTGGGAAATGCTGTCATTAGCTTGATAAATGCGCGATTTAGGATGTCTGGGTCTATCCTATGAATATGATTGTGACGGGAAGACTTGCACCAGATTCTTCTCCAGCATGCGCGTGTTGTCTGATGGTGAGCTGCTATGAGAGCAGATATGCTAAGGGGGAGTGAGTTGTATCTTAGATATTCTGGCAGGTGTTCATGGGGACTGTTGGATTGGTGCCCTTCCGCTGCAGTTTTCGCATGCTTGTCGGCCTCCTTGTTGCCATGGATATCCATGTGACCGGGAATCCAGCATAAGGAGACTTTGAAGTCTCTGTTGCATTCAGCTATCTGCCCTAGTCTGCTACTAATATAGTTTATCTTACTGGCCATTATCTTTGGCAATAGCACAGGCCTCCTCTTGGTACATATCTTGCGCTGTTGTGATGACATCAGTGAGCTTGACTAATTTTGCATGACAGGCAGCCTTTTGGATATCTGTTAGCTTTGTGTGGATGTATTTGACTTTTGATGTTGAAATGGTGACCATGGATAATGTGCAGTTGGAATTGGGGATAATACCTAACCTTACATTTAAAGGACACTTAGTTATACTTTGCAATTATATATTTTTTCACTTGGAAACAAAGCTCGAGTTCAAGAAGCAAGTTAAAGCTGGCATCAATCTTTGAGTTAAAAGACACCAAATCAATTCATGAGATACAAATAAATTGTAGGCACTAATGCAGCTTCAGTTTCAGCATATCTACTACTACTGTCTTTGGTTGATCCTCACAATAATTCCCTGAATAGAATTACTGAAACATTTATACCAGTATCAAGCAAATGACTCACATTTTGTATATAGACAACTGGCTGGTTATTTATGACAGTGTCATATGGTGGGGGTAACCCATGTTGTTCGGCACCTAGATGCTGAAGGTTACCATATACAGAAAATGCTGACGGCAAGCTGAGTTGGTCCCACATGGGCCCATGGTGCATTGGCTTCTGTATCTTGTTTGGAATCAAGGTTAGAGGCAGAATCTTGAATGACATCTTGTCCATGAAGTGCTTCCTGCACGGCTATAACTATATCAGGCTTTGAATAAGAATTTCATTCAGGAAAGAACTACTGGAAAGTTGCAAAAAAAAACACTAACCCTGATAGACAACTCTGAAGATATAGAATCTGGGGAATCCGACACATACATGGAGTCTGAGTCAAATGACTGAGTTGTAGTAATGCGAGAAGGGTTTGAAGTGGCTGGGATATTTTATTGTGCTGGCATGGGTTGCTGATGAGTGGAGGGTGTAGTGCGCTGATGGATAGCGGGTGTAGGTTGATGATAAGTGGTAGTTACAGTAAGTGTAAGTCAATTATGACTAGTAGTTACAGTGGGTGTAGGCTGCTGACGAGTATGAGGGCTAGATGCAGTTGCAGGGATCCTAGTAGAATGGTTTGGTTCTCCAGATGGAGTTTCACGAGTGTGCTGTTGTCCCAGAAACCAAGTCTGAAAGTCGGGACACTGCAAAACTTCAGCTAATGTTGGTACGGGCCTTGAAGTGGCAGGTGTTGCAGTCATTGACATGTTTCTATGAGTGGTAGCAGGGTCTTGAATGACTACAGGAAGGGGAGGGAATGGCAGTGAAACATGACTGCTATCCTGGAAGATATTGTTTTGAGTTAAACCTTGAAAAAAATCAGAGTTGGGCATGAGCTACAAAAGTTCGAGACACACACCTGAAGCACTAGGTGACTTTTGCCAATTCCTGTCAAAAACAGTCTTGCAGACCCTATCTGCAATTGAGGAAGCAAAAATGTCCTCCAGTAAGTCCATTGTTGGATTTAGATTGGCGTGGTTCAACTCCTATTGCACAGTTTTCAATGGTGCAACTTTTCGTGTGGTGATGAGGACAGTAGGCTCGTTGATGATGGGCTGTGCCACACGGCTCAAAGATAATTTGGGCCTCCAGTGTCACCGTGATACTAGTTGCCTGCAATCTGAGTCAATGTTCCAAAATAATTAATCAGAGTTCGCAACGAGATACTAGTGCAGAACATACATTTTTGTTACAGTCGCAGGCTAAATCAAGCCATTTGAGGCTTGCAATCAAGTTCTTGAACATTAGCATTGAAGCTAAGTCTGCTGGACAATAGATTTTTGAGAGTGAAGCAAGGAATTAAGAGGCTCCGAGAGGAATGAATGTTGGACTCAATATGCTGCAAATGTGGTCATAGTTAATATCACAATCATTGACCTTACAGTGACCCATACTAACTTGAACACATCCTGTCCTATGGCAGTAGTATTGCTGTAGCTCTGGCTTTTGCCAGTTCTAGGCTGAAGACTGTAACCGGCTACAGCCAAGCCCAACAAAGCCAAGCCTTGGGAAAAGTCAACCCCACATGTGGCAGCTCAAGCTATAGCTTTGGCTTGCGAGCTGACTACATTGCAACTCTATATATAATACATAGAATGACGTCTCTATTCAAAGGAGACACTAGGAATCACCACCGCCCACTGCCGTTCACAATATCAAGTAATATCAATTATCACAGTCCCTCGCAATCAAGTTCAGTCTCTTCCCACAGTGCCAGCTACACAACAAGAACTCCATCAACACCACAACCAGGCATTGTAACACCAGAGATACTCAAAAATACACTTGCTTCTATATCATCTGCACCTAACAATGAATGCCTGTGCAGTCCTGCAATCATGATATTCTCTTCCAAGTCACCTGTAGTAGATCAGATCATCTATGATGATCAGGAATGATTGGGTGAGCAACTTAATCATTATTGTTCTCTTTCATTAGCTGACCTTTATGGATGTAGCTAAATGCAAGAATATTATAGACAATATCCAAAATAATGATCTGGTTAGTGAATTTAGTGAATTTACATTCAGACTAGTGATTACTGATACGCATGTCGCTAGGATGAGGAAACAATATTTGCTGGAATCACAGATGATGAACATGCATATATCATGCAGTTTCTTGACGAAGATGATGACACTTAGGGAAAGTATGTAACTTCATTTGATATGTTGGTGTACCTAATAATGTGCATGGTTTTAGATTCATTTATCACCCAGACTCAGAGAAATTCATAGTGACTTTTCTGAGCCAGGCACACGAGCAACCTATCACACAACTCAACTTCACCTTTCAAACAGCTATTACATCAATCAGTCATGACAACACGCTTGTCCAAGTTCATGTCCCACACCTTTCAGTCATATGACACTGTAAAACCCTGTCATAGGACGTGTACATTGCCCTGCAAAACCTGGACTACCAGACACCGGCCGGTTGTTGTATACCCAGGATCGACCGACTATCTGCAATACCTGGACAGGCCAGTGACTCTAGTATAAATGATATATCTGCAGAACCTGGACAGGCCGGTGACTCTAGTATAAATTATGAATCTGCAGGACCTGGACAGGCCGGTAACTCTAGTATAAATGATGAATCTGCAGGACCTGGACAGGCCGGTGACTCTAGTATACATTATAAATCTGCAGGACCTAGACAGGCCAGTGACTCTAGTATAAATGATATATCTGCAGGACCTGGACAGGCTGGTGACTATTCATATCTGCAGTATCTGGACAGGCCGGTGACTCTAGTATAAATGACAGATAGGCCAGTATGCAGGGGTAGATGTGCTTAATTATACATATAAGCTTATTTGTAGTCATACAGCAAGACCTGCAAGGCCCAGTGCTATAATATTAATACAGGCTTATCTATAGCTGACTCTACAGTGATGCAAATACTGTAGGGACTAATGGTAGCTCTTGGATCAGTCTGGTTTTGAAGGAGCTCGAAGCCCTCAATCCTCCAGTACATAATAATGGCAATGTTGAAAATACAGTGTGGTGTAAACAATTTTGGACCAGTATGATTTTGAAGGCCCTTGAAGACCTTAATCTGATTGCATACTAAACTAGCCAAACATCATTATTCAAGTTGGATCAAAGGATTGGGATGAGGTTATTATCTTTGATCCAACTTGAATACTGATGATAAATGTTAACAGAAAAAATAATATAAAACCTACAAAATCTGTGTAATACACTAGTAGTATAATTGTGATCCACAAAACTGTAACATGGTGAATCCATCAATCTTGGGCTATTCCAAATTCACTGTACACTATGAAGGCCAGCTCATGCATATTCTATATCTGGTCAATATAGGCCAGCCTGGTGTTACAGTCTGTGCAAATGGGCTGGCCACATGGGTTATGACCTATACTCTTGTCAGCCAGCCTGCTTTCACAATATATAAAGTAGTCTGGCCAGAACCATAGTGACCTATACCAGTGAAGGCCGGCCTGGTGTTGTAGTCTGTGCAATTGGGCCGGCCGCATGGGTTATGACCTATACTCTTGTCGGCCAGCCTGCTTTCACAATATATAAAGTGGGCTGGCCAAAACCATAGTGACCTATACCAGTGTAGGTTGGCCTGGTGTTGTAGTCTGTGCAATTGGGCTGGTTGCATAGGTTATGACTATACTTCTGTCAGCGAGCCTGCTTCCACAATGTATAAAGTACTTCTTGGCAGTGTTCTTTGGGCAAGTCATAGTTGGTTGAGAGCAATTGAAGGGTCAGTATACCAGACTTATACATGCCACACAAAAACAAAAAAAATGCATGAACAAAAGAGTTGGCTAAAAAGCTGAAATTGGAATTAGTATACCAGAATTACACACCACACAAACATAAAGCAAACAAACTCACATGATGAAAGAGACGTGTTAACAAAAAGTCACATCCACAAAAAGACATGTCAATGAAAGAGCAAGCAGAAAAGCTGAAATTATAGTCAGTAGACTTACACATGCCACCCAAAAATAAAGAAAACAAACTTACCCAATCCAAGAGATACATTAGCAAAAGAGACATGTTGACAAGTCTGATAGAGCCCTATAAAGCTCTCTAAAGCTGCTAAAGTTGGGTAAAATATACCAAAACTATTATAACTCTTGGTAGCTTTGCCATTATAGCTCTCAAAGTTCAAAAAATGCGAAAAATATATCTCAAGGAACTGCTATAACACATAAACTACTGAGTACAAAACTAATAACTACAAAAGAGGCAAAAATGTGAAGCTAGAAGGAGAGGCTCAGAGAGGGAAGGGAAAAAAGGGGAAAAGACTTACTAGATACTCAAAAATGCGAAAATAATTAAGGAGGAGCTAGAAGGAGTGTCAGAGAGGAAAGAAGAAGAGAAAGAAAAAAAAAGACTTACAAAATAGTCAAAAATGCAAAAATGATTGAGTGGAAAAAGGAAACAGGTAGGAAGAAGAAGAGAGATAGAAAGACTTACTACCAAATAGTCAAAAATGCGGAGCTAGAAGGAGAGGATCAGAGAGAGAAGCAAAAGAAGAGAGTTACCAGATAGTCAGAAGTGCAAAAATTATTGAGTAGAAGGACAATGAGAAGGAGGGAAGGAAGAGACAGTGAGAGAAAGAAAGGAAAAGATAGGAATAGACTTGCGGACCGCACTTTTGCTTATATAAGCTGTGCCAAGCCACATCACAAGACTTGATGAATTTTCGCATTTTTGCTTACTTGACCGTGGGAACTTTTTCGATGAAAATCAAAGTTATAGCCCTTATCAAAAGGAGTCTATCCATAGTCTTATGACATCAATAGGTTAGGATCCTAGTAAGTTATAAGCAAAATACTCGAAAGTGGATGGTTCAAGAAAGCACCTTGACCATGGGAATTTTTCCGATGAAAATCAAAGTTGTAGCCCTTATCAAAAGGAGTTTATCTATAGTCTTATGACATCAATAGGTCAAGATCCTAGTAAGTTATAAGCAAAATACTCGAAAGTGGATGGTTCAAGAAAGCACCTTGACTGTGGGAACTTCTCCGATAAAACCCAAAGTTTATTGACAAATACACTGATTGTGGGAATGCCTGGTGCAAACATCAACAAATAAACAAACATACTTCAACTGTTTATATTTCTCCTACGGTTCATCTTTCTGGACTTCGACCATGTTCATACCTCTCCTCACCTTTCCTCTCATTGCACTACTAACCTCAACATATTCTTTGTGCCTGTCCTTTGGCCACTTGCAGACTGCAGCTGCAAGTGGTCAAAGGCAGTGCTACAGTGATTTTCAATCTCACAAAGTAAGTTTTTTCTATACGTCCTTCACAGCACTAACTTGCTATTTATTATTCACAGCTATGCTTGATAGTTGGACCTTAAGGTCAGTCTCTTTTGACTCCCTGCAGCATTTGACTTTGTATAGTTTTTTAGATTGACTTTTTGGCTGTCTATGTCCCCAGGGACTGGTGCCTCCAACTTTGGGCTCTGGGGGTTATTTTTTGGTCATCCATATCCCAGAGACTGGTACCTTCATCTTTGGCCATCCATGTCCCTAGGGACTGGTGCCTCCAACTTGGGCTCTGGGGTTATTTTTTGGTCATCCATGTCCTCAGGGACTGGCACCTTTACCTTTGGGATCTGGGGGTTGGTTTGTGGTCATCCATGTCCCCAGGGACTGGCACCTTTACCTTTGGGTTCTGGGGGTTGGTTTTTGGCCATCCATGTCCCTAGGGACTGGCGCCTTTACCTTTGGGATCTAAGGGTTTGGTTTGTGGCCATCCATGTCCCCAGGGACTAGCACCTTTATCTTTGGGATCTGATGGTTTAGTTTGTGGCCATCCATGTCCCCAGGGACTGGTGCCTTTACCTTTGGGATCTGAGGGCTTGTTTTGTGGCTATCCATGTTCCCAGGGACTGGTGCCTTTAATTTTTAAATATAGTTTGTATTTTACTGGTTTTCCTTTATCTTGTCAAGTGTCCTGATGTACTGACAGTGTTTACTTTTTCTAGCTTTTGTGTCTACCTTGTTTGTTGAGCCGGTCTCTTTGTGTGTTTTCAAATAGACTTGTACTAACAGTGTATATTTTTCTAGCTTTCTATAACATTTTCTGCTTGACTGTGGCTGCCTGGTTTGTTCAGGTGGGCCTATATTCAATGTTTGATATCATATTGACTGATGACTTAGTTTTCCTTTGACTTGCAGCTTAGTTTTGATTTCCTTTTGACAAATTTAACTTGGGAAGCATCCATTTAAGATTCAGTATCATACTGACTTGCCTTATACTAGATTGTAAATTACTCTACTTTTTACCTACATTTTAGTACTGTAGGGTGCAAGGCTGGGATGGAGAGGGCCCCTCCATCCTTGTCTTGCATCATTTACCTTAGCTTGTTTTTGTATTTGTGTTTTGTGTTTTGTCACAATTCTGTGTACTTGGCTAGATATAGTAACTTAGTGCAAATGTGTCGCCCTTTGTGGGTATTTTCTGGTCATGTGATCAATTACTTTTTGCCAAAAATTTAAGTCATGTGATCGTGAGATAGTAACTTCAAGGGCAAAATAGTGTCCAAAGAGATAGGGAAATTGTAATTTTGAAATAACCCTTATGATCTTAGCTCTATCTCCCCTGACCAGCCCTGCTCATATATAATCAGTAGTACATTCACACATATGTTCTATGTCAAGAATCAGCCCCACATAGGGCACATATTTGATATCTGATATACAGGAGGTATTTCCACTGATAAGAAACCTCCATAGTAATCAAGCCTGTGATAAGTGATCAGATACCTGGGATATCTTTCATATATGTCCCTGATAATGGATTTGAAGTTTTAGAAAGATCCATGAAGGACTGACTGAATGACAAGTAAAATAACATATGTGTGAAAAATAACAATTGACATCTTTTTACATAAAGTCATATTTATATATGGTACAGGTCAAATATTCCATTAAAAATATGTAGGATATATGGTATACTACTAAAGGAACCTATACTATGTACTGCCCTGAGCTTAGAGGGTTGTGGAAGGAATGTGGTGTATATCTCAGTTGACCCAGTATTTAAGTTCTATTACTGCTCAACTGACCATTTTTGATGTTTTGGGTCTTTGAACTTTTCTACACTCAATTTCTTATCTATTTCACTTCCTCGGCACTTATTTCTTGTTAGATTGTTCTATAAATTTAGATATATGATAGTGAATGTATTTTAAATCTACTCCAGGTGTCTGATTATTAAATTTTGATGTTTTGAAAGTATGGGCTCCTTATCAGTAAAAATAGCAAGTATCCACACCAGCTCAAAACTCTGGCCTATTTTAAGCTGATCCTTGTCATACAAAGCAAGTATACATGCTCTGATAATGATATATAAACAGGCTGAATCATTTATGCAACATTAAGATACTGGAAAACATACAAAATGTCAAAGAGGGATTTTCTATATTTTTGTTCTTAGAGTAGGTTCCTATGTGTGTTCTGGGCCAGCTATATGACAGATCTACTCCAAATATACATAGAAATAGACCCCTCACCTCAATTGAGGTCCAGTCCTACAGAAAAAAATTTCACAGTGAGTGAACCACCAGAAAAGGAGGAACACATCATGCAATAGGGGATTATTCTATCCTGCTGGGCTCCTGATACATTGTTTCTATTGTTGAATAGATGCTGGGAATCATTTTTCCAAGTCTGTCCACCTAGAAATAACTAAATAGAAACATATTCTGTGTTTTTTGCATATGTGCTATATCTATTGATATAGGGCACTTCAGGGGGTTAAATAAAGATGGGAATCTATTCATATATGCTCATAAACATGTTCCAAATATAATAGAACACTTCCCCACCAAAGGTGCAAAAATGCGAAAGTATTTTTTACCCTATCATATGTTAAATGGCCCCTGGAGGAGAAGCAGATACACAGATAGACAAAAAAAGTGGTGTATTATATTATATTATACACACATATATACTAAACTACTACTCATATAAGAACAGGGACCCATTGTGGTGTAGTGGTAAAGCTAGAGAGATATATCCATAAAAGACAGTTGTTGACAAAAGATTGACAAAAGAAACACAAAAACCAACTACAAATGTGCATGTGACATGTTCTGGCAAACAAGAACAAATCAACAAATGGTACATCAACCATTTACATTTCTCCCACAGTTTGTTTATTTCAACTTCAACCATGTATACCATCACCACCCATCTTACTTTACTTTACCATACCTTCTGTGCATCTGACCTTTGGCTACTTGCAGACTGTAGCTGTAAGTAGTCAAAGGCAGTGCTGTAGTTATATCAAGGCCACTATATCAAGTAAGTTCTTTTTACAACCACTTCATAATACTAATTCTTTGTATATTTATTTCCAGTTGTGGTTAATAACTGGCGCACTATCAAACTTTTTTGATAGCATGTCTGAGGTCAGTCTTTTTACAGTACTTCACATTACTAATTTTTTGTATGTTTATTCAGTTGTTGATAGCTGGCACACCTTAAAGGTCAGTCTTTCCATTCTGCTAAGCAGCTGACTTTTCTTTAGTTGTTTAGATATATTCTTGGCTGTCCATGGCCCCAGGGACTGGCACCTCTAACATTGGGCTCTGGGGGTTAGTTTTTGGCTATCAATGTCCCTAGGGACTGGTGCCTTCATATGTCTGTCTCTCCTGTCAAGTCTAATCTACTAACTTGCTCTCTAGCTTTATAAGATGCATTGACTTTTCTGGCTTGTTTTTGTTTTGTCCTCAAGTCTGCTCTGTACTAACAGTGTTTTTTTTTAGCTTTCTCTCACACATTGTCTGGTAGCGGTTTTGTTTAGATAGGTGTTATTTCAATATTCAAGATGATACTAATTTTCGCCATAGTTTTGGTGGTCTGCACTTGATGTGCCTGCCATCTTTTTTTACATGTTTAATACCGTAAACATCACTTTAATATTTAATATCATACTAACTATCACTACAGATGGCTGATTGTTAGTTTTCATTTTTACATTTCATCATTTACTATAGGTGCAAGGCTAGGATGGAGAGGGCCCCTCTATCCCTGTCTTGTATCATTTACCTTAGTTTTTTCTATCTTATTTTTTTGACTCGGACTATATACTTTGCTTGCTGTAGGACATAGTCTAAATGTATTACTCTTGTATGGGCATAATCTGGACATGTGACTCTCAAATTTTTGCCCAAAAATTAAGTCACATGATCATGAGAGTGATGCAAGATGACATGCACCTGCCATAATATGCAGCTTCCTCAGTGTTGAAAATTTAGCCTCACTAACCACACCTCAATTAAAGTAAGTTTGATTGTCTACCTTTTGAGCCTCACTCATTTCAGATGCCCACTTTCTATGTCCATGAATGAAAGAAAATAAATCATTTGTACAGTTAGGGTTAGTTAGTTATTTCTATCTCTATAAGCGAAAGAAAGTGAATCATTTCTGTTGCACAACAGAAACAATTCACTTTCTTTCACTTATAGATATAGAAGGTGAGCATCTGAAATGAGTGAGGCTTAAACAGTAGATAATCAGACTTACTCTACTAAAGGAGACTGGTTGTGAGATTCCTGCATGGGCCAGCCTGTTGTTGCATCCTGTAATACTGGGCTGGCCGGCCTGGTTGTATCCTATACCCCAGCAGGCCGGATGAGCTGTGCAGTGTGTAATACTAGGCCGGCCCACCTGGCTTTCACCAATACCCTAGCCAAGTCTGGCTGGGCCAGCCTGTTATTGTACCCTGTAATACTGGGTTGGCCAGCTTGGCTGTTTTCTATACCTAAGCTGGCCAGACGAGCTGTGCAGTATGTAATACTGGGCTGGCTGACCTTACTTTCACCTATACTTCAGCTTGCTGGATAGTGACATGCACCAAACTTGTTTTGTGCATGATTGTGGCTACTTTTAAGCCTTAATGTTCCTCACTTTGGTCACATGGTGCCACATTTCACATGGGCCAGCCTGCTGTTGCAGACTGTAGTGCAGTCTGTATAAAGTGGGCAGCCACAAACTCGGATAAACCAAAATGGCACCAGAAAGCTGCAATTTTTTCTGGACAGCTTACTCAAATGCTACATCAACTGCAGCTTTGAAGTGAAATTGAGTACACTTTCTACATACCTCAGAGGCAGGCAAGCCATCATGGTAACAGTATACTAGCTAGCCACCTTCTTCATACTGCATATACAGGTTGGCCTATGTGGCTCACAAAGGTGAAATTCAATCTGCAGCTGGCCTGCCCCCTTCTATATAACACAGAGGTAGACAGGCCTAATGTACTATTTGGCACAAGTATGTCGGCTGGCCCCCTCTTACACACTGCATATCAGGGCTGGCCCATTCAGCTGAAATTCAACATATAGCTGCTGGCCCCCTTTCACATAATGCAGAGGCAGGCAGGCCTAATGCACCATTTGGCAGACATATGTCGGCTGGCCCCCTCCTACATACTGCACATCAGGGCTGGCCCATTCTGCTAAAATTCAACCTGGCCGGCCGGCCCCCTTTCACATATTGCAGAGGTAGGTAGGCTGAATGCACCATTTGGGAGAGGTATGTCGGCCGGCCCCCTCCTACACACTGCACATCAGGGCTGGCCCATTCTGCTAAAATTCAACCTGGCCGGCTGGCCCCCTTTCACATACTGCAGAGGCAGGCAGGTCAAATGAATCATAAGGCAGGAGCATGCAGGCAGCCCCTTTCTATACCTCTGATATTTTTTTATGTGAGCCATCGGCCTGCTAGGGTCCTACAGCATCGGCCAAGCCTGGTTTTACATGGACCGGCCAACGTCTGGTAGTCCTGGTTTTGCAGGCAAATGTACACGTCCTATGACAGGATTCTACGGTAGAAGTGACTGAAGGGTCTGCATGTCCATGCAAACAGCCACTTTTTGGGTGACAGTATTCATGCGGACCCTGACATTCACATTTTCTGCACGCCATTCATTGATATTGGGATACCAAATAAGTCTATATTCCTCTGAATTTTAGAGAATTGTTTATCCCAGACTGAAAGTGCAGGTCGAGAAAAGATTTGTCACATCATTGCCGATGATAGTGGGATCCTGTTGGCTTCACTGATCAATATGATTGAAGTAAACTGATATGCTAATCCAGACCCCACCAGGGAGATTGCACAGTGTTTGTGGTCAAGGCCAGCAATATATTTTGAAGACTGGACACCTCTGAGGACGTGTTCCAACCAGTTCAGCCCTGTCATATCTGAGGGGCACAACTGGGTTGAACTCTCAAAAATTGAGTTTCATACATGGATACATCCTGAAGACAGCCCAATCAATCTTGAGAATAATGACATTTCAGTGTATTCTAAAGGGGTGACCAACAACTTGTTCATGTTTTCACTATACCTGAGCTGTGGGCACTTTCACAGAGTCTTTTCCTGATCAAGGATACTAAAGAGATGGATGTAATGATTAGTTGAGGGATAGAAAGGATATGAGACGTAATTCTCCATCACTTAGTCTCACTGGATCCAGAAGGTGACCACGAAGCTGTATGTCAATGGACTCTACCTGTGAAGGTGATCAAATGGAAGAAGATCAAAGCATTGTTAGTAACTGCAGTGTGGGCAACTGCTTATAACCGCTACAAGCTCTGGAACTGCAGTCTCCTGAAGCATAAGGCAGAAGAGGCTGATGATAAGGCAACAAAGAAGACATGTGCTTAATGGTAAGTTCTCCTTTGGTAAATAACAAGTATCCAACTCATAGCCTTGTACAGCTGTGCTTGATTGCTGTGTAATTCAAGTCCTTTTGATGATGTCCATTGATCTATGCCTTATCCACCTATAATTTCATATCCGCTTTCTCTGGCATGCATAAACAAGCTATTACATACTTTCTCGCTTATTGTGAATCATGTTACAAATGGTGTTGATTGTATTTTCTTTGTTGCTACAATGCTTGTATATAAACTGAAGTGCTGGACTTGAAACTTGCAGTGCTCTTCAGAGCCTTACTTCATTCCATGCACTGTCCTCATTGGGATTGACGCCCAGCAGCTAGTATTGCACAAAAATCTACATTAATACAACCTGCATCTCAAGATGCATCTGGCACACTCAATGTAGATGACACTGATGAATCCTTTAACCTCAATGTATCGGGATCTAGTCCTGCATACCGCCTTCCTCCAGCATCTTGTATCTTTCATTGTCGCTGATGATCAGGCAAGCCCTTACACACTCTCATTATTTCTTACTGACAATGGTCAACAGTCATTGACCATTGTCAGTAAGAAATAATGAGAGTGTGTAAGGGCTTGCCTGATCATCAGCGACAATGAAAGATACAAGATGCTGGAGGAAGGCGGTATGCAGGAACTCTGGGATTGAACCTCTATCACCATTTAATGTAGTACTCCTGGCTTCAGCTGCAGCATGGTTAGGAAGAGCAGATAGTTTGGCACCTCCCTCAACAACTTTACACATTTCAGTCAGCGTGTATCCCATCTCAAAGGCCAGTTTGACACTAATGATGAAGACAGACCACCCACATTTTTCTGCCAGAATGAGATAGAGGAGTAAATGGAACCTCTTGATGTGTCCACACAATGGTGTATTCCCAGTATTACCTGAGTATTCCTATTTTCTCTCTCCATGGATCCGATCTCATGCATCTGGATCTAACTTTCACTTGGCCCTGGCAGTTTGACTGGTTAGACAAATGGATAGTGTACACTAGCAAAGATTTACTCACAAATGACACAAACAGTGTCTTTGTCCTTTTTTTCCCAAAAGAAATAGTTAATGTTGTCTGATGTTGCAGTTTTTTGAGATGCCTGTGTTTGAAGGAGAGGATCTGGTGGTGTTTCAAAATTCAAAGGTATCACATTTTTCCACAGCCTTCGTCTTGGACTGGTTAGAGGCTAGAGACTAAGGGCATGCCCCAGTTGGGTAGTGCAGTTCTATGCTTCGAGTTGTTTATGACTGCATGGGAATCACTCACTACTAGAGTTCCTCAACTCCATCCCTTCATTAATGTTGGCTTGGCATGGGCCAAGTCATATTATGTTTGCATGGACCTGACAGATTCATATGTTATTGCTATGTGTAATTCTATTATACTCAGTGATAAATAACTACTAATCAATGTGCCCACTACATTACAGTGACTGATTTCTCAGTCAGAGTTAGTTGGATAAAGGACTACTGGGAGGATGCTTAGATAAAGTGTGCTGAATGCATGATCCGTGACCTTATAAGTACTGAGTGGTCATTACTGATGGCCCAACATGATGCTAATTTGATTGTTTAGATGGTGGAATACTAAAAATAAATTTTACCTAAGGCTGTCAAGCATTAAATATTACTTGCACCTCCAAGGCTGACATGATCAACTTGCTCACTCAACTTTATGGCCTCGGAGATATGCGCATGAGGTGCCCGCAGCAGTCTCAAGTCCACAGACTATCGAGCAAGAGTATCAGTCTTATGTTAATGGTGAACATATTGAGATACTCAAATTTTGGGAGGTACGTTGCACCAATTGTATATCTTTCAACTGTAGTAACAGTCCCTGGTTTCAATAGATGAAGTGGAAGACATACCCAACATTATTTGCAATCACCATGGACTATTTGCCTATTTAGGCCTCTGCCATCCCATGTCAACAAGTTTTCTCATTGAGTGCAGAAACTGACACAAAAAAATCAAATCAAATCAGTGAGACATTGATGGAGGCATTACAGATGTTGAAATATGACCTGAAAAAAGAGCGCCTCAATTTCACTGAACACTTCACAATATTACAGTGTGACCTTCCTGGTGATGATCCTGACAAGCCGAGTGGAATGCAATCAAATGTATCTCAGGATCCCACTGATGATATACTAGCTGCAATTGCATCAGAGGAGTTCTGCAATCATATGTCAGACAAAGTTTACATTTATTCATAGCCTTCGTCTTAGACTGGTTAGAGGCTAGAGACTACATTCCAGGCCGCCTCAGTGATCTCTACTTACTACTATGTACTAGTACTTACATATGACTTTTTTGCATCAATGTGCAAAGGGCTGCGTGAATCTATGCCATCAGACTTGTCGCACGGAGATTAGCACGACAACTTGAGTTTTAGTATGACTAGGCAATGACAGGAGTACTGGCCACCCACACAGGTCGCAGGTTTACCTCGTGGGTAGGGGTGGGGGTATGACCTTTGGACACCCATACCCATACCTGTACCCTTATAGTGGGTAGTCACTCATGTTGTAACTCATCACACTTGTGGTCTCTATTGTAAATTGGTGAGTATTATTTCATCTATATATGTCATATGGACTTTGCTGAGTGGGCATCTTGTTTCTCTTCTCCTTGGTAGCATAAATGTCCACGTCCAAAGTCCATGCATGCTAGTCATGGAGAAGGATGACACGGTGGTATGTCATCTTTGGCTTCTGCACTGTCCACTCTATCCTTGGCTGCAGCACCACCACATTCTTCTTCTTCTGTGACACCAGTCTAAGTCTTGGAGGTGGTGAGTCCTGGTTGCAACTCCTTTGTGGAGGAAGAATGATGAAGGCAAGACCGTTTGCAATGTGTAAGTTCTCATTTGTTGTTCCTTCTATATTTGTACCAATCTTTTATATACATACAGATGCAGCCTCTACTATAAGCTTCACAGCTCTGCTTGTCCCATTAGTATGAAATCCGATATTATTCAGAAGCACTCTTGACATGACACTCGTGCATAGTGCTCCTCCCTCACCAAGCCCCCAAGCGCATCTAACACACCTGGCACTCCTTCTGTTATGGAGGAGACAGTTTCAGAACGGGTTCTGGTGTGACAAGCACAGGTACTTCTTTGTCTTTGCGGTGCAGCAGCATGGACTCATCTGTCCACACAGTCGACACGCCACACCCACCACTATACTACCCACCAACCCACCATGAGACCTGCACCTGCCATTGGGGTGTGGGTATACCTTGTTTAATAGATATGTCAAGCCCAAGGCTGCTGATGTTGCCATCATCTTGCAAGAGGGCATTTTCGACAAAGACATGGATTGGTACGAGACACCACAACCTACAGGTGAGCTTATCCACTTCACTTGCCACTACCAACTCTAGCTGCTTTCTGGCAAAGATCAAATGCTGCTGGTTGAGCTTCTGGCAGTACATACTCTCAAACTTATGGTGGTGGCAGGACCCTGATCTTTGTGCTCCAGGTAGGTGCTACATGAGAAATGCTGGAGAAAATGTATGCTATGCTGAGAGTTTGAGGCAAAGTTCCCTTACAAGAGCATTAATTATGTGAGCTAGCAGCCATGTTACTAGGATCCTGGATAGTATAAGTATAGTACATGAACAATGTATGCTATGGGATTCTGGAAGATGCCACCATGGCGCCACATATGTTGATATGTCAAAACATTAAGTCTGGTTTATTGTTCATATCATATCTGTTCAAATTCTGTCTGTGTACTCAGTGCTTGATGATTCCTGCTCGCATCAATGGGAGGTACTGGCTGAAAGAAAAAATAGGGTCAGGTGCTTATGGTAAGTGAATTTGATTATTACATCCCGCTGTGAGGACTGCACTTTGTAACAGGTGAAGTGTATTGTGCAAGTGATATCATCAGTGGTGGTGATGTACAGTGGCTCAAAAAAGTGTCTCAATGTTTCTGACTTTTCATGTAATTGCTTTATTATGAGCCAGGGTGTGGGAATATGACTATGCTGTAGGGAGGTGTCATAATGCTATACTTCTCAGCCTCATTTATGCTCCCTGTAGCGTGGGAATCTGATGTCATCATGTGCAGATATGGCTATTTGAATTTGGTGACTCATTGAGGCACTTGTTGACTTTTAGTTTGATCAACATAATCTCTATAATTATGATACTTTATGTGACCTCCTGTTGCTCTAATCACTTCTGCCACTCCTCTAGCCATGCTATCTATCAATTTTGAATATTTCTTCTTAGTACTCCTTTCTCACTCTGCTGCAACTCTGTCCTACAGCTGAAATAACTCCTATGATGAATTTTGATAGGCTATAAGCAATTTCTTAGATATTTTTCAGTAATATTCAATAGGGCTAATGTATGGGGACTGTGCTAGACATGATAGAACATTGATATTATGGTCTTTGAGCTGCTAGCGACTGACTTGAAATCTTACTTCACATGAATGAAGATCTCATATTTACCATATTCTAACTGGGCAGGCTGCTAATGCTACTCAGGCCACCTAATTCATCAATTCATCATCTCCAGCACTGTTTCCACTCAAACCATCAACAATACTTGCAAGGCAACAAATATTAAAGTTATAATCAATCAGAAGAGGATTCTCCTATCCCTAGCCTATAGAAATAGGAAGTAAACTTCAGCTTTAAAGACCAGTACTGGACTGGAAGAGGACTGGAAGAGAATTATATTATGAGATAAGACCAAGATAAATATAATGAAGTCAGATGGCTGGGAATACATCCATAAAATGACAGGTGAACCACTAAGAGAAAAAAAATTGTGTAAACTCTCAAGTGTGGAGTAACAAACATAGAGGTATAGAGCTATATGAGATGTAATAAAGTATATATTCTCTGTGTGAAGTAAAGTGAAGAACTAATACAGAGTGGTACATCTCTATTTTAGATGAGAGTCTGCTAAGAAGCATACAGAAATCATATATTAATAAGGAAGATACCATGTTGCAATAAAATAATGATCCTAAGTATATGTCCAAGTTAGTCACTAGCAGCTCTAAGACCATAATATCAATGTTCTATCATGTCTAGCACAGTTCCCATACATTAGCCCTATTGAATATTACTAAAAAATATCTAAGAAATTGCTTGTAGCCTATCAAAATTCATCATAGGGGCTATTTCAGCTGTAGGACAGAGTTGCAGCAGAGTGAGAAAGGAGTACTAAGAAGAAATATTCAAAATTGATAGATAGCATGGCTAGAGGAGTGGCAGAAGTGATTAGAGCAACAGGAGGTCACATAAAGTATCATAATTATAGAGATTGTGTTGATCAAACTGAAAGTCAAAAAGTGCCTCAATGAGTCACCAAATTCAAATAGCCATATCTGCACATGATGACATCAGATTCCCACGCTACAGGGAGCATAAATGAGGCTGGATAGTATAGCATTATGACACCTCCCTACAGCATAGTCATATTCCCACACCCTGGCTCATAATAAAGCAATTACATGAAAAGTTAGAAACATTGAGACACTTTTTTGAGCCACTGTAGTTGTCAAGCTTCAATGCATTACTGGTACCACCACCAGCTTAGAGCACAAGAATAATGTGCTCCTACAACTTGGTGATACTGCTGGCATCTCCTGCATCCACTGGTTTGGACAGGAGGATATTTATGATGCTCTAGTGCTTGATTGTCTTGGACAGTCACTTGAGAGTGTATTCAAGGTACATCAATGCTCATTCAGCCGCAATACTATAGTGTTCATAGCTTGTCAGATCGTAAGTATTTCCTAAATTACATGCACTGATCCTAACAATTTCACTAGGTCTGCCGCCTCCAGTACATTCACTCAAAACACTTCATTCATCATGACTTGAAGCCCAATAACATCCTTATTAGAACTGGTGAGGATGCACACAGGATTTATCTTGTTTATTTTGGCATTTCAAACAATTCAGAAACCCACGCACTTATCGCCATGTTGCATTCAAACAAACTGCCTCCTTGACAGGAACTCCAGCCTTCACATCCATCAATAACCATGAGGGAATGGAGCTGGGACATTGTGATGATATTGAGTCCTTCGTGTATATCTTGATTTACCTGTTTTGTGCATCTCTGCCTTGGCTTCACTGTAGTGGCATCTCTAATAACGAAATCATTGAGATAAAGCATAATATGACAAAGCTGTGCCAAGACCTTCCTGCTGAGGTTAAAAGGATCCTTACTTACTCACATTCCCTCTCATTCAATGAGAAACCAAACTATACATTATTACATCGCCTTCTTTGGTGTATCAATAGTACATCCAAATCTTACCAGCAGGACCATATACCTGACTGGTCCACCATTTCTCCAAAACCTTGTAGGAGCTGCATTTCCGATGCAGATTCTACCATGCCCTGCCGCTCACATCATTTGAAATTACGAGCTTTGTCTCCATGTGTCATGTATTCCCCATGCAGCAACCACCAGGTTCACAATGACCACGCTACAGTTATTGATCATCAGACCATGCAGCAATGCGTGCTACTTTAGTAAATGTGAGTACATTGCTTTTTATATATTCATTGTGTTGTAGACTTATATTATTTGCAGGTCTATCTCAAACAACGACACATATCTTACAGTTTTGTATTCATGTTCTGTGTGTCTGAAATTTATGTACCTACTTGACTGCAATAATGTATGCACGAATTTGTGATTCAACTGAAGCTGACTTGAGCTGTGGCTCAATAAGTCTTGGCTAAAGCTAGTTCACTTGGCTAGCAGCGGCAGGCCAGGCCGAATACAATGGCTCGGGTCACTATAATTAGATGAACCACCACTGAAGCTGGTAGAAGCTGAGCTGGCTCTTAGCTAGCTGAGCCGTGGCAACACTAGTGTAAAGTAGAAGCTGGGTAGTTTGAAGCCATCTTGAAATTTGTAAATTATGGGCTCAACACTGTCCTGAGTCCATGCATAACAACAACAATGTTCTTCTCCCGAGCAGCAGCCTGGAGACGTTCAAGTTCACATTGGCGCCTTTCTTCATTCATTCCCTCTTCACGAGCATTTTTCTACATAAAGATGGTAGGCATCTGTGTTGCATGGCATGGTGCTGCTCAGGCTTTGGGTTGTGATGGGCCAGTGACCATGCATGAAGGAAGCTGCACAGGTTCACTAGCATCTGGCGGCTCAACAGCCTGACCCTTGCCCTTCTGGACTTATGCAGGAGGCTCAGGAACTTCCAATAAGGAGGCCAAGGGTGGGGACAGACAGACGTCCAAGTCAGAGGGTGCAGCATCAAGAATCAATGCTGGCTGTGAAGGTGGAGGTGAGGCATAGGTGGACATACTTGAGGCTGATGAGGTATTTGAAGTGCCAATGATAGATCCAACACAACAGCAGAGGTACTGTAGAGATACACACTTAGCTTCGTCACAGTGTCACATGTCCTTTGAATCGAAGCTATTTTGTGTGACTGTCACACAGAGTTGAAAGTGTCGAAGGTAAATTGTGACATACAGTAAAACATGAAAAAAAGCCTAAACTATGGTTAATGTTTCCAAAAAATTTTGTACTGAGTATTTTCCACATGTCTGCACTTTCCACGACCAAAAACCTCTTCATCACCCTTAGTGGTAGAAGCTTTAAGCTCTTGATCATAACTTTCTGCCTGGTTGCAAGGCAGCAGATTACCAGAATTATCAGTACCATAGCCATGAGGGACTGACCCTCCTGATGTGATGTGAAGTAGAACCGCATCAACAGGAATATCACAAGGATCCAGGTCAACATCCGCAGCATGCGCAAATGGTGGCTCAACCTCATCTAGTGTTGACTCGGATTGAGGTTTTGCAGCATTGTATTGAGCCATCTTGATTTGGTCCCATGTCTTGACGTCATTCTTCTCTACATCACGTAGCACTTGAAGAGCTTCGTGGCTGGTAAGGCTGTCGAAGGAGAGATTGAATGAAGTGCCAGCCTTGCATTGAAAAAATGCCTGAATATGTCAGTGTCATTGGTGAGGGATACAAGGATGGTGTACTTACTTGTCTAAAAATGTTGGGCTTGTTAATAGCATGATAGCCATTGATAAGCCAGTGCAATGATCTATCATGCAGAGTGGGCAACATTGTGTCAAGTCAAATGACGGTGGCAGTGGCATCATTTTTTTCCAGCAATGACAAAGACTCATCAACAATGTCAGCATGCTGACATCATTTGACAGCAAGCTTGGATGGGTGCTGGACACCAACATCACATGGTTGGGCAATACCAGTGCAACTGCCAGGGACAAAGTGATACTTGATCCATGGGTAATATTGATCAAGCCAAATACAAAACTGGATGGACTTGTGGACCGACCAAACATCCAGGTGTAAGATACATTCTTGATCATCAGGTGCACCGACAAGCTCCTTCTGTCTTGTCCAGTAAGGGATGAAAATATTATGAACATAGTCACACATGAGCTCAAACATTGACCAGTGCATGTCAGTATTTGAAAAACACAGCTTGAAGCCTAAGTGTTGTGCTTTCTTGAATTGTGGCATGCTTTTCGAGGGGAGGGAGCACGTAGTTTTGCCACAGTAGATGACCTGAAATGGGAGAGCATTGCCGGAGGCAGATATGCCAACCACCACAGTAAATGCTCGCTTCTCCTCCTGTCCAACGACTGTAACTTGCTTGGAACCAACTTCTTCATATGTAGCGGTGTTTTCAGGTTGATACACAATATTTGTCTGGTCAATGTTGACATAGAAACAAGCATGAAAGATTGCACAGTTCTGAATGGTCAAATTTAAGTGAAGGAATTGGTCTAGACAAAGTTGATCGGCGTTGGAAGGGGTTTTCTGTGCAGCACAGGTTAAAATAACCAATTGAGATTTGCAGCTACAAACTTCTTTATCCAAGATTCTGTGCATTGAAAGTGTGAGCCGTCCTTCACAACAGCCTCAAAGACCTCGGGGCAAGAGACAGTGAGGTGGGCAATGATTACACCATGACAACACATGGTGTCTAAAGCTATATTAACAGTGCACAGATCTTCCACAATGGTCTTGACAACATTAGGATACTTCAAGAGAATAGTAGGCAGCGTTGCCTCAGTTAATGGAAGATTGCCCTTTTGAACACGGACAAGCACATTGGCATGCCATGCTGGTCATGTCCCACTATGGTCTATCCAGCTTCCTATAACCTGTGCATGGATACCACCAAAGCAAGTGGGGTCGATTCATTTAAGCTCATGCTCAATCTATACTGGTGACATCCCATAGCTGACATGGAGAGTGGCCATTTCAATAGTTGGCCATAGCAGGGGGCCCTGCCAGTTGACATGCAAAGCATCTGTGTCCTCCCACTTGTGCTTCTGGCCTAGGTTGCGCGTACACTTGCTATGAGCATGCCTTTGCAATTGGCGATATGGACATGATGCCTCTGTGATTGTGATGGCTGGTGGCTGAGGATTGCTATCATGAAGAATGTAATCGATGGTAGGTTTCTGATGAAAGAACATGTAAGCTTAAGATAACTCAGAGTGAAAAGAAGACACATGCTCACCTCCTTAGCAGCTTTTTCACGTGTCACTGTTTTCTCTTTCACTCAGCTGCTCTTTCATGCTTGCAAGTAGCCTTCTCAAACTTATTAAATTCTTGCTGATAATGGTCCCGCTCCTGATCTCTGAGCTCCCAAGCAAAAGGCTTCCAAGCACATTGTAGATGCTCCTTGCATGATACTTTTGGGAAGAACTTGAACAGACCTTTGTTTTTGTCTGTGTCAGTTGTACGAAGGTCAAGTTTTGGTTTATTAGTTTGCATGGATGATGATTGGGTGGAGATAGATGGCTGAGTCTCTTCTACTTCAAGATCATGTTCACTCTCTGCACCTGAGGAAGTCTCTTCTGGCTCGAAGTCACTGGCATCATCCACATCTGAACCATTACATATATCCATGCCATCGTCAGGAACCAAGAGCTATAAAACCAATACTCGATTAACAATGTTGCATCAGTTAGCACAAGATGCCCATACCTCAAGATGATCATAAGCAAGATCCAAAAATTCTTCCATGCAGAGGGAGAATGCTCTGTTATCGTTGAACAAAGGATTGCAAAATATAGCATGCTTGATGGTGTTATGGCTGTGATTCCACATGAAAATGAATCCAGCTATTGACCGCACTGTAGTGCATTTGCATTACTAAATCCAGAGAGGCCATGATGGCCCAGCCAATGATGAATGATGTCAATGTCATGACCGGGTTGACTCCACCCAAGAAAATCAGTGTTTGATCAATCACATTGACCTCAATAGCAGCCCAATGGATGTTGTAAATATTGATAGGAAAGAGGACATGCTGAAGTATTCCTTCATGTAACATAGAGCCTATGGCACAAAGGTGAGTAAGAGCCTTCTCAGTCTCATAGTTTGCCCACCGCTTCTCATTGAGCTGAAGTGTATCCATAAGGACAAGGGATTCAACACAGACTGTCCAAAGGTCTCCATTTTCAGATGCTTGCATATGTTAAACTACTGCAGCAATCATAGTATCCACGACACGACTGCCAATTGGACCTGATGCCAACAGTGGCCGGAGTCCACTAGTAGATAAATCAGTCTGAGCACCGACTCCTTTGAGTGGAACATCCCATGGAAGATGCTCTAGGACATCTAAAATGTCGTCAATGGTTTCCAACTCAGCACAGTCACCCAAAACAGTGTCCAGTCGGTCTAAGATCCAGTCGTGTGATGTATGTCAATCACATTGATGCTCAAGTGCATGAGACATGGACACCCAGTATGACAAGACCCACAAAAGAAGTGGTTCATTGAGGAATGACAGGTGCATGACTGATTGATCTTGGTCTTGCCATGCACTAGTAGCATGATCACGAAGTGCAGTGGCCATTGAAAATGCAGGAACTAATTGTGAAACAAAGTCTGCAGGGAGCTGGACTGTGGGGGGCTCTTGGGAAAGGATGATATCAGTACATGACAAATTAGTTTTGAGATTTGTGGGGAAATTGAAGACAAGCAGCTGAGTAACTGAGAGAGTATGGGAAGGAATGATTGCACGAAATTCCACAGGAACACATAGGAGATCTGATAGTATTTCTTTACGACTTGTTTTGGAGGTATTGCACAAACTAGCCATGGTACTGAAGGGCTTTGAAAAGGACAGTTTGAGGATTAATCGGCATCCTGAGAGCTAACTTATGTCTTACTGAACATTGGAGGATCTGTGTTGATAGTATGACAGTACATGCATACATAGAGAAGCCTGGAGCCTGACATATTGCCAGATAAGTAAATGCGAAGTACTCCGTGGTGAACGCAAGCTTGAGGATCATTGATAAATTGAGAGCCTGTTGCTGCAGACACTGACAGCGGCTGGCAGTTGGTCACAGTTTGAAGCTATTTCTGAGGTGTCACAGGTCACACCCATCTTCGAATCTTTGAAGCTAAGGCTTGTTTGGTCACACCCGGATGACGTCAAAGCTAAGTGTGTATCTCTACAGTATGTCCTTTCACGGAACAACCACCCAACAGGCCACAATATGTTTGGCATGCAGCATTCTCACAATGTGCATGGGAATACTTCTTGCAGACCAGGGCAGCACACATAATGAGCAATGTGGCATTGCTCAAGGCAGCAGTCTGGACGACAGCAGTTGGGACTAGCTGAGCTGGCTGGATGACAGTGGCTGGGGCTAATTGAGCTGTGGCCAGGGCGGGGGAGCTGGAGGGACTGGTTGAGCCCCATGCTCAGCAAAAGAAATTGCATGGCACTTGCTACTCGCCAGCAAATTTCTTGCACTTTGGTGATTGGAGTCAGTTGAAATTCAGCAGTGAACAAGCCTGAAAAAGATAGCACTTACCACTGCCACTCAACAGCCCTCATTTCCATTCTCATTTGACTTGCACCATCACTAGGCAACTGCATGGGTTTCGGAAACCCGTGCGGGTGGTGGGTATGGGTGTTCTGAGGGTGTGGGTGGGGGTCCATGTTTCAGGCACCCGCACCCTCACCCATACCCGCGGCCTGGGTTGACACATCAAAATCACTATATTTCGCTACCTAAACAGGAAATCGGCTACTCATACTGTACAGTTGTTAAAAAATCAATAGCAAGCATATCAGTATCACTATCCTCTAGCCGCGAGTCATAGACATCATACAGCCAAACATATTCGCAAAAATGGCAAAACGAGTCACCAAACTCACAGACAAGGTGAAGGCAGCCCTCGAAGAGAAGCTTGATGGCCCCTCGACTAAGAAATGGAAGAACGACATGAATGGGGAAAATGCGGCACCAAGCCAGTCCAAGAAGGCTAAAAGTATCCCGAACCACGGTCGCACAAAGGATGACATGGAAGACGATGTCACGGCTACTCCGAGTCCTGCAGCTACACCAGTACAGGGACATCGAGCAGTGGTTCATACCGAAGAGGAAGAGGCTGATCTGCATAATGATGTGATCATGGTCGATGATGACGAGAGCGACGACGATGCCAATGAGACTCGCAATCCAAGTCCAGACATTGAAACTGCTGAAGATGAGCTCAGTATGCAATACAATCTTCAATTAAAACAATTTGTCAATCAGATGATAGCTTGACTAATGAAGGAGTGGTGCTCACCTGTATATGCATTCTTCAAGCCCAAACCATGTATCATTGAGCACAATGGATGTCGCGCACATCAGTTCAAGTGCTGTGCTCGAGGATGCAAAACTACAATTCGACGATTCCTCGACAAAAAGGATGCGAGGTCTACTGGTAACATGCGAAAGCACGTCAAATCGTGCTGGGGTGATGAGGTTCTGCAATCTGCAGACCAAGCCAAAGATGCCCAGGAGGTTCAGACTAAGATAGTTGGTAGCATCCTACGGAGTGGGTCAATCACAATGTCATTCAAGTGAAAAGGCAAGGGGAAAGTGACATACTCGCATCACCAACATACACAGACTGAGACAAAGTACACTGCCATCTTTCCTAACTGGATTGAGAGCTGAGATAGCCACAATAAGGGCTGAAATCGTTCGTTGGGTCGCCGAAAGTCTATGACCATTCAAAATCGTCAGGGACAGGGGATTTCAGTCTCTTATGAAGACCGGAAGACCTGAATATTACTTACCTTCGGCTGCTACAGTGTCGCGTGATGTTCGGTTGGTCTTTGCCAGGACAAGACAGCACATAGCTAAAATCACAAAGGCACGGTCATCATTTAAACATAGCGCAGCATGAATCTAATATACTCACTGGCAGGAACATGAAGGTAAAGTCAACTTCACAACAGATGGATGGACTTCAACAAACCATTGGGCTTTGGTCGCTGTATCTGCGCACCTCGAACATAAAGGAGTGCCACTGAGTCTGCCATTAGATATTGTTGAGATACCAAAAGTAAGGATGACTTACTTTGGCCTGACTTGATTGATATTGAGCATGTTAGTCACATACCAGCAAGGAATTAGCGGGAGCGTTTGAACAGATACTAGATGATTTTGGAATCATAGAAAAAGTTAGTCCAATCAACACAATGTATTCAATGAGACTTACTGCAATAAAGATCCTAGCTGTTACATGCGACAACACATCGAATAACACAGTAATGATCGACGAACTCAGTACCGCACTCCCCGACTTTGGCAGAAAAGCATCGCACACATGGTGCTTTTTGCACACCGTCAATCTTATAGCAAAGTCCTTGCTCCATGAATTTGAGGCATCCACAAACGACAAGGACACAGAAGAGTTGATAGCTGATGACAAAGATGACGTGGATGGCTTGGTCAATGAAGTTTCTTTGTTGACAGATATCGAGCAGGAAAACCTTAGGAATAGTGTGCGTCCCGTCAAGTTAGTACTCACAAAGGTGGGAGTTCAAATCATGAAACATACCTTGAAAATTGACATAGTACCTAGCTTTGCAAACTCGGATTCAAGATCATACATTCGACAGTTAAACTCCTCCCGGCCTGGCATGAAATTCTTGAAGCTTTGAAGATGAGGGTTACGACACTCCCATGGGATGTTTCCACATGCTGGAACTCGACATTTGACATGGTCGAGTATGCACTGAGGAATCGAGAGGCGATTGATGCCGTGACCCAGCGACAAGACCTGGGCTTGCGACAACTTGAGTTAACAGACCACGAATGGGTAATTGCAGAGCAATTACAGGACATCTTGAAGGTGTGTGCGCATATGTAACCATATGTGACACTGTATATTACTTAATTAGTAACACTTACATGACACTTTGCTCTAGATCCTCAAGGACGCAACACTGTTCTTCTTGCGTTCAACCCCAAACTTGGCGACCGTTATCCCAGCAATGGACCTAATCGACGAGAAACTGACCACTTACTCCTTGAATGCTTCATTCCTTCCATCGATTCGTGTAGCTGTAGGACTCGCCAAAAAGACATTGAATCGCTATTACCAACTGACAGATACATCGGAAGTGTACCATATTGCCATGGGTGAGTTTCTTTCTTAATCTATGTCATTTGTCTGACCTCTTACTTTTAGTTCTACACCCGCGTCACAAACTCACATATTTCAGACGTGCAAAGTGGGAAGATGCTTGGATTGAAACTGCCGAGATGCTTATACGGGAGACATTTGAGCGCTCATACTCCGACTCGATGTTGGCAGCCTCACACGCAGACTCTGAGGCAGACGATGGTATAGCAGCAGAAGTTTCTTCGGTGAGTTTTATTGTCTGTCTTGATGCACTCGCTGACTCGCAACCTATCTACATCCACAGGGCAACATCTTCAACAATATCCCTGCGCTTGCACCCCCGACAAGTCACTCTATAAATGAACTTGACAGGTACCTGGGCACTGACATTGAGCATGTCGAGGACCCCCTTGCTTGGTGGTATGAACATTGTATTGCTTATCTGTGCCTTTCTCGCATGGCGTTAGATTATCTTAGTATACCTGGTATGTTTTGTGTTTACATTTATTTCATATTAAGGAGCTAACTATTTGACTATGGTAGCTACTTCCGTGGATGTTGAATGTCTTTTTAGTCACAGGCATCTCCTCCTTTCACATGTTTGCTCTCGATTATCAGCTCAGTCAACCCGCGCACTCCTGTGCCTCGGATATTGGAGCAAGCTCAATCTAGTGAAGACAGAGGATGTCATGTCTGTTGCAGCACTTGCAGATGTTGAAGGTGAGGAGGAGCAGGAGCTCGAGATTGGGTGGGATGCCATTAAATTAGAGTAGCTACATTTTGTACATGAACTGATTGAATTTGCAGTGACCCGCAGGTATACCCTTTGCGGGTTACTGTGCGGGTCATTTACCCATCCACCCACGCAAAAACCCAGACCCGCTTTGAGGGTATGGGTATTCCTCCGGGTGTGGGTGTGGGTACGAGCGCTGACACCCGGGGGTTTACCCATGCAGTTGCCTAACCATCACCAAGGGACCTCCTCTTTGCAGTTGGTGCATGAGTGGATGAAATCAGGTTGGGGTTGAGCCAGTTGAGCATTGAGGACAGCCTGTCATGATGGTGCACCCCACGAGGTGGATGGGGTATTCATGGTTGTCAAGAAGCCTGGTAATTGGAGGATATCAGTCATATTCATCTGGCGGGCACAGAAATAAACTTACCAATGTTATCTAGTAGCTTGAGGATCGCATAAACATTGAGAAATGAATGACATACTGTGGAATGTAGTAGTTCGTACTCAGGAAATACAGGTCGCATTAGAAACTTACAGGTAGCATAGAGATTGAGAGAACACATACCGGGCAGATGTGCAAAGGCGTGCTGGGGCAGTGGTTGGTTGAAAGCAAGAGATAAAGCATAAAGATAACCAATGGTGCATCATGTCCTGAACCGGACAGATCCGCACTTGGGTGGACCCAGCCGGACGGACTCAGAAAATTACATTTCCCAGATGTCCTCTAAAATTGGGACTGGTCCAGGTCGGGTTGTGCCAAAAATGGCCTGGATTGGACTGGATATTCACGGAAAAATTTGTGCCACCAATCGCGTTGTTCCATTAGCAGTGCCATAAGCTTGATCACCGTACTATGCATCATACTTCTTTTGGACAAGCGAAAATTATGAGTCTTTTGCTGATCAGTGGGTTTATGCACTGCTCATCCATTGCATTTCCATTGTCAAGTAAAGCACCCACAGAATGGATGGCTGCACAAAGAAGTCCCCAACACCCAACATTATGTTAGTGACAGGAGGGCTCTGAACCTGTGAGAGTCTGACCATCGAACTGGAAAAAAATCCAATTACTTACCAACCATCACAGATCTTATCATTACGTTCTTACGTTGCACTACTGGCACTCAGGTTTTCACCACAGCTTAACCACCGAATGCTGGCGGAGTGGTAACAGTCACAGACACCGCACTAGTAAGTTTGCAAGGTCCTTGTCGGGTCCTGGAATTCACAGATATGTAGTATGTCCAGCAAGCGGGCTCGCACCAAGCTGTCAGGCAAGCAGGCATATTCAATTTGATGCAATATCTACAAGGTATTTTACCCCGCACTCAAGCTGCTCCATATGTGATACGCGCAACATTTTGATAGATTCTGTCAGATACAAGCATTTATGAAACACCTGCTGAGCTACACCAAATATGACTGGTCCAAAACAGACTTGAAAGTTTAATAAGTTTGCTTCTTGTAACCCTGTGGCCTACATGATTGTGACTGATAGGTCCTTGACTATCTAGATACTATATAACAGACGAGGGTCGGAGTAACACGCTTTGTTACCCCACTCCGAGACATTCCATTATGACACCTACGTCGCAGCTTTGTCAGTCAGATCTATTCAAAAAACGCTCTGAGCTCCTCAGTTGCAATGTTCGAGTGGTCCTCTCATATGAGAGAGCCAAGGCCATTGGCTTAGCACTCGGTGCATATCAAACTGTTTTGTTCGCGGGGCATGTCTTGATCTCGTATTGCAGGCATCACTCTTAATGACACATTGAATTTGATGCAAAAAATTTGGGACATCCACACCGACCCAATCATAGTCCGAGATGAGGCCGCGACTATGCTGGTGACAATCCAGTACAATCTGGTCGCAGGAACACTTGCAAAATATGCTGTGACTACTAGACCTGATCTGGTCTCCCTCGTCGAGGACATTCTTTGGTGGGATGTCATGTGAGCACACTTTCATGTTCATTTTGCAGAGGCACTACATAATCTCTTTGCAGTGGTCAATTCTGCCTTACTGAGCTGGGGAGAGGTCTAGACATTTTCCGAATGAAGACATCAGCGACACTTCTTCCAACAGGCGAATTTGACCTCCATACACCGTCGCCCTCGGATGCCAAGTACGAGATCAGTATATCTTTGAGAGCTGCTAATCATGCTAGCGCAGGTTCATGCCACCAACCATTCCAGTGAAAGGTCTTCCATGCGTCGCCGTTGTTTTTGCGCAACTGTACGTGGATGGCAAATGCCGTGGACCTTGGCCATTTCTTGTGAATCTGAACGACGGATATGATATGTGCAACGGGGTGACTTCAACGCGAGTGCTTTTTTTAATTTATTTCACCGATTTCAAACTTATTGCTCTATGACTAGGTTGCTACCACCTAGAGGAGGCTCGTCCCCCGTCAATCATGCACTCACAAGCTTTAATCACGTCCATTTACCGCCTTCAGCCCTTCTCGGAGACGTCACCAAGTCCGACACAATGCATCATGACTTCATGTCGTCTATATGGCACGTTGCGGTCGGGTCGCTAGTGCTTGGCTCAGTTGCAATACCTTACCTCCAGGTGGCATTGTTCATCACCGTGCATTATTTTCAGCGTCGTCATGTCACCAGTTTGCAAGGAAATCCTTTGCCCATAATTTCATACCGAACACAACAGCTTCCTTTATTACACGCCATTGCTCAGGCATTCGTTCTGAGAGCGCTTCACAAATGGGCTGTCGAACAGTTTATGGACAAGAATCTTGATGTGCGTGTGCGACATGGTGTAGAGACTTGTGTGTCTCATGGTGTGATATGACAAGTTTTCACTAAGGAGTACATAGCACGAACTTGTAGTGTCACTCCGTGCGCTACCCACAGCTATCCCTATACAAGGCGCAGCTTTCCCTGCGCTTCACAATGTATACGCTCGCGCGCGTTCCCGCGCTTGAGCGCCCTATAGCGCTAGTTACCACCCACCATTTTACTTAGCAGAACATAATAGAAGTCTATCTGTCTACACTTCGCATCTCTCTTCTCTTATATTGCATCATATTAGCACTTGAGTCTAACTTCTCTATTATTTCTGCATACACGCGCGTGCTTTCCTGCGCTTCGCGCTAATACGCGCGCATGTTCCCACGCCTTGCGCGCACCTGCGCTTTCTCGCGCTTCGCTTCAGCGCACACTTCTAGATCCTTGCTGCACTCGCTTCCCCTAGGGTCGAACGCACTTGTCGTCTCAAGAATAGCAGACTAGGCAACGCGCGACCTCACAACATTTATAGATACAGCTAGGAGCCTCTTTTGTTCCTCGTTGTATTGTTGTTTCTACAATGGCATCACGGCTTGCTGCAAAGCAGTCATGCTTCAGCATGCACAAGGTGCAAATTACGCACTGTCTGAAAGGCTTGGAGCCCAAGGCCTCTTCGAATATAACCAGCTGTCCAACTGTTATGTATGAGCACCTTCTCTTTGACAGTCATGCTAGAGCAATAATTAATCTGTTTCACAGAGCGAGGCAAGGGGAGTTAGCATCGCTGAAGGTGACATTTTAGGTAAATGACTTTTAGCCTTCTCCGGTGATGTGATGCTGATCAAAGATTCCAGCGCTTTCCATGTGTCAGTACAGTACATTGATGTTCACACCAACCAAAGACTTACAGATAAATTCTAGGACTCGTGGCAGACACCTTGTCGCAAATGTACGAGTTACCTTTCTCGACACACCCAGATGGGCCACTTGCGATGCACGAAATCTCGTTATTTGACGAGGCAACTGAGACAGTTTCCTCCTCGTCCGATTTCATGCAGGCATTCATGCAATACGTGCAGCCACGCTGTCAGCAGATGGTCGAATCCATGGGACACCACATGGCCTATGATGCCGCTGTCGACCAAGGGATCTCCCAATATCTTGTCAATCTGTATAACATCAATGCGATCAAGACAGATGCCACGTGGTATGTGGAACATGGCATGTTTACGCAGAAGGCCATCATGCATATGGAGGATGCTGCTTTGTCCGCAGCTTTGCCTCGCCTGGAGGAGTTGCTCACTGCGATGGAGGTTGAGCCATACGTATGGTCACCCATCATATCAGATAAGCGCTGGGAGGAGTTTAGCAAGACATTGCCTGTCTATAGCTCCCCTCAGGCTCAGGTACCAGTGGCGCGACTTTAGTTTTGGAGCGAGCTCGAATTTGAAGTTCTGGGTTCCTGCAACCTTGCATACAATATGATAGATCCTTGGCGATGGTTGCTCATAACTTTCTGTTAAGCTCATAATTAGCTAGTGGCTTGTTTTGTTTTTCTCCTCATTTACTCTGAATGTCTGAAAAAAAGTGATGCTTTACGTGATATTATACAGGGCCTAGTCAAAGTTTAAGTACCGTAATGGTTCCCAAAGTTTCCGGCTCTTTCTTATACACGATTCTAGAGTTTTGATTTCCCTGAGGAAATACCATATTTCCTGTGCAGAAAGTCGGTGATGATTTGCGCTGTGTGAACAGTTAGATGGCAAACAATTAATCCTTCATGTCAACATACCAAGCTCTTCTGGAGCCTTTTGAGGGATCTAGGTCACACTTGTGTTAGTTATATAAACAATCAAAGAAGAGATACAGACGAGATGGCCAGATGACTTGAAGATAATGTTAGATGAATTGGTGGGTCTGCGCCAAGCACGCTGCTTCCTATCTTCCACTAGCATCGACCTGTCGGATAACGTGTATCAGTCAGTGAACTTGGTCCTGCCATCTTGGCTTACACATCCTGGCTTTGTTTTCCAGGAAGAATCCACAGTAGCTCAATATTTTCGTCAAGCGCTTCCATCAATTCCCAGGTTTCAAGGCTAACTAGTGGGTTTGCGAGGATAAGAGCCTCGTGAATGGGAGACATATTCAATCTGACGCCTCTGCTATCATCCTCGTACAGTCCGAAATCAACATAGAGCCGAAGGACGTCAGGATGCCAAGCAGAGAACATGGGTGAAGATTTAAAGGAATGCAGGGCGTCCTCCCTGTAATCATAGTCAGTAGTACTCCGATGTTTGCCATTGATCACGCCTTAACAAAGTAGCCCTAACCAAGTACTGCATGTGCTCCCACGTATATTTTTGGTAAGTATCAATCATCGCATCGAGGAGAATCGTCGAGGAGAACAAGGCAGGGAAATGCAATGCAGTTAACGTCCTGTTCAATATTGTGAGATTCGACAGGTCTCAGAATCGCCGACAACATACACTGAGCAACCTCCAAATGAGTGTCCTACCATGACCAAGGTCCGGGAGGAGAAACCACTTTTTGACATGATTCACCGATGGATGCAGGAAGTCGATGAAGTTGAATGGGGAGAGGTGTTTCTGCCTCTTCTGGCATATAGTTAATGAGAAAGTTTGTGATGTCTCTCGCGTTGTCAGTCCAGTCAACTGCTGTCGATTAGATCCAAGCAATAGGTCTGAGCAACTGCATCTCACAGGTACCACTGAGATTCTGTTTGTTCAGCAGAGCAGAGTCGCCATGTTGCACGAACTCCCATGACCATATCTCGTCTATGAGACCACAAGCAGTAAGTAGATAACATAGGGTGGTCTCCCAAATCTAAGTATGCATGATGCATCGTCAGATTCTAGCATGCGGACTGTGAGTAGGCACTCACTTCCTTTGGAAAGCCTGCTCCGTGCACAAGGAATAAGGGTATCTCCTTCGTTCTGACTTTGGCATCTCGGTCTTTCTTCACATATCAGTTGACACAATTCCACAGCAACCTTTCGTTCGCAACCTCGGAATAACCGTCCTCCAATAACCAGACCTGTTGTTCCATAAGTTCGAGTCCCAGTTTCTTGATATCCTGCCCGGTTCTTTTCGAAGAGCGAGGTGGCGGCTCGGGAACTGGAATATCTGGGGTGACCCTGGGATTAGCTCCAGGTATAATATGCGTGCTGATGTTGTAGATGCTGAGCAAGTCATCGGACCTGGGCCTGAAGGGCAGGAATGGAACTTTGACGGGCCCTTCATGAGACTTGAATGGTACCCATGGGCGCGGTTTCACGGTCGCCCAAAATATTGTAGGTGTGTAGGGATATGAGAATGTCATGGGTGTAAGCAACCATTGCCTTCAAGTTGAAGCTAACTTTTCTATGATATGATGATTAGTTCCGATAAATGGATTGACTATCTTGCAGAGTACATACCTCCATGATACTTGGTGGGCAAGCCATCTCGGACTTGAAATACAGTAATCCACCGCCACTTGCGTTTCCACCATCACTTGTGTCAATGCACAACAACATCGTCAAATCACATTATTTAGACACAATTCTTGCTGATACATTTTTGTGGCATATAGAGCTATGTATGGCTGGTACAATGTCTCAAATCTGCCAGCAGGAAAGGTCATGATGTTGCAATTTGTAGCTGAAATTTCACTTTTCTGTACATAGTTTGAATGATTTTTGTGATTCACTCGGACTTCATATATTGATGAAGATTACCTTCACTGACATTTGACACATGTTTTTGGTAAATATCATAGCATTCTCAATGTGCCAGTTCGATGCCGGTGAAGAGCTACACAATCAACAAGTTATCAGATCTAAGTATGTCATGCAATGACAGATATTAGCTAAACCAGGCTAGCGAGTTATGTATGGTACAATATGGCGCGTCACATACTAACAAAAATCCTTCCTACAAATTCCTGGTATTGCCCGCTCCATAGCAAAGAAGAAAAAGATGGCTCGTGCTGAACAAGACAAGGCTTATGCAGAGGCAATGAAGGAATATATCGCTTATCGGCGATAATTAATCACATACGATTAGCTGAGTAATACCTTTTTTGGGACTGACACAAGTGACGGTGGAGTGTTGATAAAGGCCAAATTTTTGATTCGTTCACTACTCTACAATACATGCTCTGATGCTCTCAAGATTTCATTATATACAATAGTACATGTATTAGAAAGTAATGGTCAATCACGATTTTCTTTAAAATATGTTATTGTGCTGTGAGACATGCTCGAAGTTTTGCTGACACAAGTGACGGTGGATTACTGTAGTAGGCCGATTCAAATTTATAGTATGATGCCGACACGTGCCATGTTCAATTGGATTATCATTGGATAGCATGGCATCAATTGATCGCCGCTGCGCGTCGTGATCAGAAAGCATGTGATGGAAATCAGCCTAGAAGCGATCCTTGCAAGGAATACTAGACTGTCCTTTTAAATTTCATCTAGTACTAGTGATCACATCAGGGTGAACAATATTTAAAGGAGGTTTATATATCGTACAAAATGTGAAAACAATATTTGATATTTAAAATAACATAAAGATGGGTGCACGACTTCAAATTTTGGTGGTGTTTTGTGTGTCATCCAAAATATCAAATACTCACAACCATATTCCCACAGACAATATGTCAACAAATATAACAAATATAATCAGATTTTCCATCATCAGCAAGAGACCCATAATTTTCGCTTGTCAAAAAGAAGTTTGATGCTTATGGTGAGCTTACAGCGCTAGTGGTGATGGAGCAACGTGATTGGTGGAACAAAGTTATCCATAGTAAAATGTAAATCTAATAATGCGGTAGCGTCATAATTGTTAAATGGTTCGAAATAATGGTATTATATTGAGTTAATTGTTTAGAGCCACTAGTCTAGGGTTTGGAATGTGAATACTCATTTCGAACCCTAGACTAGGGCCATTTATAATCAGCGATGACAACTGTTGTAAAATTTTGTAATGATTGTGCATCTCTGTTGTCACTACTAGTAGTAGTATGAGCTACTGATACTGGGTCTATGCGAACTCTGTGCTAAATGTATGATAACTTTCCTTATCTGCAAAACTGTTGAGAAAAAACCGGTCATAGCTCTCCGAACTAGTGATGGCCAGGTCCGGTCCTGAACCATGGTTCGAACCCAAACCATTTCGAACCTGACCGAAGTCCAGTTCAAAGTTCAGGCAATAGGGAGAACTGAACCATCGGTCCGGTCCACAGTTCAAGGACTTGCAGAATTCTCGAACCAATTGTCAAGTAATAAGGGATGGTATGAAAATTTCGATCTCCAGACTTACATGGGCCAGCCGCAGTGCGGCTGCGCTCATGACACACTGTGTGATGCGGCTTATGTGATGCGAGAAAGTGGGAATTTAGAAACCTCGACAGAAAGCACACCAATGACTTCAAATTTGTGTGACGGTCACACCAAATAGCTTCAATTCATTGGATGTGTGAATCTCTACAGTATGCCATTTGGTGAAGAGTGCAACAATTGATGAAGATCGGGTTTAGGGTATGTTTGATTATGTTAGTTCTGTTGTTAGGACTCACCCAGCTACCTCCAGTCTGCATGAGGTACATTCACGGTGTGTGCATGTAGAGTCGACTCTGGATGGGGATGAAGTAGACTTTTGAGTGGGGATCTCTTTTTCTCAGTTGCAAAGGCGCGTGTATTGTATGCTTTTATGCTACTTCATCATGGTAACTGATCATTTTTATTAACTTATGATTACTCTTGTGCATACCACCACTTGCACCCTCTCATTCTTGCTGTCTTGTCCCTCTTTCCACTCCTTCCACTGTTCTGGCGTGTTCCAGTGTCCTCCGCATATGTTCAAGCCACATTAGCATTTGCTGACATGTGCCCTCTCCATCCTTGCCACCCAGCTACCTCTGTCCTCATTGTCAAAGCAAAACCATCAACAACAACATATCACCACAGATGGTGGCTCAAACAGCCACCTTCTTGCCCGTCTCATCGCTCACGAGTTGCGATGATGAAGTCTGCGAATGGCAGGATATGATATTGGAGGTTCAGGTATGTGGCTCATCGCGCACTGTTATCATCTTATTGTTTTATCTACTCATAAATCATTAAGTCATTTGCCTACCTGTTTGCATGCTCAGGCCACGGCTTAGGCTGGGCCAAGCCAGGGCTAACATTTCATGATGGTGTCTACATTTACGATGCTAATGTGGTATGTAGATCTGGGGTGCATGAAATCAATTCACACCCTCTGAAGCCCTTCCTTTGCAGACAGCAATTTTTTGGGTCCGTTTCTTAGTTTGAACCCTTGCTGAACTGGAACTGGACCATTATCAGACTGAACCAATGGTCTGGTCCACAGTTCTGCTCACTGAGAGAACTGAACCAATGGTCCAGTCCACGGTTCTCTGGATTTCATAGAGAACCGGACTGAACCGGACCTGTCCATCACTACTCCGAACTAGTGGCTGAAGAAATCCTCTCATCTACCTTGTTACCATATTCTGGTATCAATTCGACAGCGTGTGTTACATCTGTCAATGACACGACACCACCACACCTACAATGTCTGCCACATTGGTCTATCATGTACGTGCGCTCCACTGTCCACATCGCAAGTTCAGGACAATCACTGGGATTAGCGACGAAGTGGAAGAATTGGACGGTAGAGGAGTGGACTTGAAAGGTACATTGGTAACACCAAGTCAGAAGCCCATGGAATCTTTGGCTGAAAGATGAGTCAAACTTGTGCAATACGACTGGCTGAAGATGATCTCAAATTAGATCTGGAACATGAGTGCAAGAATACACTTACTGCTTTGGCTGTCACTGCCCATGACATTGATTAGGACAGTATTGCAGTTTCTGAGGGGGAATGCATCACTTGGCGGGTATGCTTGTATCACTCTGCTTGGCATGATGACTCATGGCTGGAAAGCAGAGTGAAACTGTAGTTGAAATTCATTCCATGTGCAAAAGTGTCCGTATCCATGGTCCCAGCAGGTATGCTCACCAGTGGAGAGGGATAATTGATTGATAAACTGAGAGAGCGCATGATTGAAATCAACAAGTGAGTATTTGGCTTCAATAGTGATGGGTGTCAGAGCATTAAAATCTGGCGTCAAGGTCAGATGGAAGGCAGTGAGAGCGTCTCCAGAAAGAATGCCCTTAAGAAAATGATTCCGAACTGGCCGAGGTCCATGAACAGAATGTGTTTCATCAGGGAGAACACGAGAAATCGAGGAAAGTGCTGGATTAATGGTTGTCACTTCTTCATCTTCAATGTGTATGGCATTGACAAGTGACGCGCCACGAGAATAGAACAATGCATACAGGTTGCATAATTCCATCGACTCCTGGTGGTTGAGGATCCGTATGCACTGCTCTGTAAAATCAGTAGATCGCCGGTTTGTACGCTCAAAGAGATGTTTGCAGTGTGTAATGAGTAAGCGCTCTGTAATATCAGCTGAAAACTGCATCAACCTGCCCATTTTCATGACCATGCCTCTGAAGCTTTGCAATAGCTCGAGTTTCGGTATAAAAAAAATTGTCTTTAACACCTTTCTTTCCCCTCCTCACCTCAGTGTCAACAATAGCATTCTTGAATAAGTGAAAATCTGAAAGTGCTTGCACCATCAACTGCAGGGAATCAGGAGAATGAACTGGATTTTGAGAAAGGTAGATGAACTCTATGAGGGCACAGATGGAACAAATGAACCTGGGTGGAGCAGTGCCTGCAATCAAAGCAACAATGATGCATTGAATATCTCAGTGCTTGCGCCCTGTCATTTGGTTGACATGGGTGACACCTTTGGTGAAGTGACGTGTTCCCACCCACTTATGCTGAACCATGAAGCGAGCGTTCAGCTCAGGTTTCCCTACTGTCTCCTTGATCCAATTGAGCGGATGGTCCACAAAAAACTTGATACAGGTATGCAAAACTTCACCAGTGAGAAAGACAGATGGGCATGCAAACGTCCAATCATGCCAATATGGCATGTGAACTCCAGACAGATGCACCGCTTTTGCTGCCTTCTGGAATTTATCAAGATCCCAAGGATCGACCTCCTTGGAGATCTCATAGACAAGTTGCAGTGTGTGTTGTCCAGTGCGGGGAGGGTAGAGAACTCCATCACCAAAATTTGCTTGTGTCGCCATAGTTATGGGAGAGGCACTTTTACTGACTGTAGCGATCATGGTAGCCTCTGGAAGGTCACATACGTGAGAGACAATTGGTGTAAAGACATAACAGATGTATTGGGAAGGATAGGGCATAAAACAACCATTCTTTGCTGCGACCTTGAGGTTGGCACAGATGAGATCGACACATCTATGCCACAGGCATGCCTGCAGAATGCTCTGACAATCAGGATGCACATGAAATTTAGCAATGGGCATGTAAGCAATACAGCACCAAGCTCGTAGTGTAGCCTTGGAGCAAACTTCTGAATCGAGGTTACCAATCGTAATGAAAAGTGGGTGCATCTCAAGCCCTCCAGTGGTGCACGTCACAGGTGTTTTATCTGATCCCAAGATTATCGGTACTTGTGTAGCACCTACTGGGAGATGGTCTTAAGAATACGAAGTCAATATTTGAACAGTAGACTAACAGATAGAATTGACCTGAATTTTCCATGCCATATCAGTGCTCATATAATCCCCATATTCATGCTGACCCCCAGTATTAACAACATGGAGATGAAAAGTGATATGGTTAGCAAAAACAGGATCACTGAAGAGCTGTTTGACGACTTCAAGAGCATCACACCAGATGAGTTGCAAGGGATAAGTCATCTTGTAGCCTGTGAACTCCATGGTCGAGACTTTCCATGGTACAAAAGAGGGGAGCACATCAATCCAATCAAGAAGTTGATCTTTTGAGGTGAAAGATGGTCTTGGGCGGGTGTGAAACTGTAAACGTAGAGTCATACCTGTTAAATAGGGCTCCAAGTCTCCTACCCATTTCAGCTTCAAAAACTTGTCGATCTGAGTTTGAGTCAGGTTTTCAACTAGAAATCTTGCTAATTCCCACTCCCCCTCATCATGGAAAGGATAATAGGTATTTATTTTCCTCCGGTATTCATATTGATCTTCTTGCAACCTGTCAAATAGGTTTTTGCCAACACCAAAGACATACCCGGATTGAGGATGATAAGAGCCAGTAGTGGACGATGCAGATGAACGAGAACCTTGCAATCCGGGTGGAATTGGGAATTGTTGCGGGCGTGATTCACATGGCCAGCAGGTAGACTGAGAATCGAGATGCAGAATAACTGCCTCGATGGCAAGGAACTCCTCATTGCAGTTGGGACACAGCCTGGTATACATCAGTCTATGTAATGTAATAATAAAGTGGTAAAAGATACTCACATCCGCTAAATAGCCAAGTCTTGACTAGGCCCTTCCTTGTGAGCTTTGCTGATGAGTTGCTGGCAGTAACTATGTCTTTGAGACTCCGCAGACTGTGCATTCACAAGGTATCGTGCTGATATCAGCCTATAGTATTGGCAGGTTTCATCTATATATCAGTAAGTTCCTTCCATTGTCAAGTTCAAAGTGTGTACAGATGTCTTCACCATCTCACTATCAGCCCAGTAGTTCTTCCCAAGTCTCATCTCCTCCTCCTCCCAGCAGTTCTCCCAGCCCCCCAAGTCCATCAAATAGCCCCCCATCTTCTCTTCTGTCCAGTGGACGTGCTACCACTCCTGAAATATCTCTTTTTTATTCTAGCTCCAAGTCAGGGAGCTCTCCTAATACTATGAATTCTGACTTGTGTACTTCACCACTAAGCACAAGGCCAGAAAGGACACCTGGGAGTCCTGCCAAAGAGACAGATAGCATATTTTTTGATCTGTCTAGGCCTCTGAACCCTGAATGTGCTGCTTGATGGCGGTTCATACAAGACAGAATGAAGAGGAAGCAGCATCCATATTGTGTATATTCAGCTCCAATCGAGGTTCATTATGCAGCTCGTGTCATGGGGAGCGACCGTGATCCACATGTATCATTCGAAACACTTTTCAAGGTACAATACATTTCTTCTACCTAATTATGAAGACTGATTTCTATATTGAATAAGCACTTTGGACTTTTAGAAAATGGCCTCGTGCAACTATGTTCCTTGACCTTATACAAAGGGTACAAAGCCAAGCTTGCTGCTCGTGAGACTGCCCACCAGCGCCTGGTGGTGACCGCATGGGAAATTGAGGAGTCAGAGCACTTCACTGCATTCCTTGATGCCCTGCATGATGAGAACAAGGAACAAGTTGGATTTGCGGACAGGGAGTTGCAGAGTTTTAGGAGCATTTTTTTCTGATTGTGGCTGCAAGGAGGTTAAGGATGATAGAGATTATCTTCAAGCCATCTATGAAGATGAATGCGAAGTCCTTTGTGTTACCTCAGCCCAAGCTGAACAGATTTCAAAGATCTTGGGTTCATGAACCAAAGACATGTTTTTGCAATCCAGACCTACAGACTTGCGATCCCGGCTCCCTAGCCTTGAGATCCACAACAGCGATGACAATCAGATCATTCTGGATGATTCTTCGGACTCGGATTCTGATGAAGAAGAGTGTCTCGGGGCATCAGTGGGGGATGAGGTGCCCCATGATGAGAACTAGATTGGTGGCTATTCAGGCCCTTCCAATTGTGGTATGTGACACGAATTTTGTATTCACTGCGTACAACACTGATCAATCGATAAGAGGACATGTAATAATACATGCTGCTTGTGCCAATGTTTCATTATGATGGCGACCCCCCAGATTGTATTGGTTTGTCATCACGCATGCTTTTCTTTTACATAGTACCCCTTCATCTCACCCTTCTTCAGCATCTTATCATTGCTTCTTGATGACATATATCTTGTTTAAGTATGTAGTAGAATGTCATGCGGATATTTATCTGTACCCTCCACCCTTACTGCACCCTCAGTCACCCCAGTCCTGCCAGTGCATGCCTGCGAAACGAGCCAGAGGTAAAACTACGATACCAAAACCCACTCGCAGGTCCGGTCTGAACTCTTCCCACATCCCAGTCAAACACTTACGCCAGTCCATCAAGTGCGCAAGCTGGTTATGCACCCTTTGCCCCTGCTCACGATGTAATCAACACTTATGCTGGACCATCAAACACACACACCGGTCCATCAAGTGTGCAAGCTGGTTATGCGCCCTTTGCCCCTGCTCACGACATAATCAACACTTATGCTGGACCATCAAACACATACGCCGGTCCATCAAGCGCGCACGCTGATTATGCGCCCTTTGCCCCTGCTCACGACATCATCGACACTTATGCTGGACCATCAAACACGTATGCTGGTCCATCAAGCGTGCACACTGATTATGCGCCCTTTGCCCCTGCTTATGATGTCATCGACACTTACGCTGGACCATCAAATGCTTATGAAGACTATGGTGAGTTGTTTCATCATCAATATGACATTGCGGCTAATGAATCATAAGACTCATATAGTTCGGGGCACCTCAATGATCTCTCTCACTTCAACACTATGCAGGCACCTAATCCGCACCATATACAACTTCCTCAATCATTTGATGATGAGGATGAGCTGACAAACCCTCAACATTGTCCTCTCCCCATCACGACAGGTGAAATATCACATTCGCATGTCATACATGTAAGTACCTTTATTTATCTTTTGCATATTTCACTGAAAGTCTGTGGTACAGACAGCAGGCCCTGCTCGCTCATCTAACATGCGACAACACACCCGAAAGCTACCTGCAACGCTGTACATTGCTCATGAGACTGTTGTCTCTGAGACAATGCAGGCAGCTGCAGGCCTTGCAGAGGCACTGGACAACAACCGCCATCTCCAGATTACAGGACCGATGTGCGAGCAGATCTTCAAGCGCTCGAAGGAGCTTGTCATAGGGATCGTGTTTACAGAAGACATGATGGCATCATCTCCTGCTGACAAAAAATGAATTGTCAAGTCTGTGATTTGAAAGGCGACACCTAAGATTCCCGGTCTTCATGGTATGTCAACTTGAAGTTTGTCATTGTTTTCTAACTAATCGACTAATAGGAACTCCCCACTGGGACAACCAAAAGAAGGATCTCTCAAAGATTTGGCGCACGGTACTCGTTATGCGCATGGTGCTCACAACACTTACTCGAGAAGGCATTGTACTCGCCTACGAATTCCTTCCTCCACAGGGTAGCTCGATTTCCCCTGAAGCCTTTTGTATTGAGCGTGTGAGACACCTCATTCAAGGGAACAGATTTATGCATGAATATTTGTTCAATGTGGTACATTTTTTTCCACTTCAAATTGCACGCTGACTCGTCAACAGGATGGGATGCTAACGATCCATTCAAAATTCAAAAATCCATTCATCCTACACCTCGTCATGAGATTGGTATGGAACATGTGCTTCCGACTCGACACTTTACTCATCTCGCCACACAGGGAGTTACACTATGTGATGGGGGCAGCCGGCACATTCACAAAACATATACTGTTGGAACAGGGACACATGATACTTACTGTGTCTAAGGTATCATTGGACTCAAATAATTCTACCTTTCAGATGCTCTGCTCAGACATGGACGGTCTCACGGATGAGGAGAAAGTTGAGTTGGATGGGTGGAAAGATCATATGGTCATTTGTGGGATTTCGCAACAGCACGTCGGGAATGAGCTGTCCGATTTCAACTTGAGCCCCGCAGACTTAGATCATGACTTGGACACTGATGTGTGACATGTATATTATAAATCACAATACCTGTATATATCTTTCTCATATATGTATACCTCATAAATGCGACTCTTTTTGCCTTGCAAAATTAATTATATTCGACTATCTCAATTACTTAAGCACATCTGGTTGAACTCTGCCTCAATTAAACTAAGACAAGTATTTACGAACACTGTCCTGAGCTACGCCTAATGTGGCTTGTTCAGAACAGGTTTTAAAGCTTGTATTGACTGACTCGAGTTTTTTAGATGATGTCTGCTTCAATTTAAAGTTTGATTCTTACATAAAACTTCAAGTTTTTTCCAAAGTTTTACATGGAAATTGAACTTTAAGTTGAAGCAGACATGAAAAATCTGACTATATTTCTTATGTTTGTTGACATATTGTCTGTGGGAATATGGTTGTGAATATTTGATATTTTGGATGACACACAAAACACCACCAAAATTTGAAGTCGTGCACCCATCTTTATGTTGGTTTAAATATTAAATATTGTCTTCACATTTTGTACAACATATACACCTCTTCTAAATATTGTTCACCTTGATGTGTATGTATGGTCACGACAGCTATACAATTACATTCTCATCACCTGTGACTCCCACTTAACAACCATAATTATAGGTGATGATAGATGGGATTTGCACCTGTAAGACAAGGCAGATATAAGCGATCAGAGCCTCCTCTGATATCTCTTGAATAGTGAGGGACTTTATATAGCGCTGCAGGATCAAGAGGGTCATAGGGCCAAGTGCCGCCAGCATATTGGTAAATGCCGCGATGTGTTCCTGACATCGCTTAAGGTGCCAAATTTTCGAGTTCACTGTGCGACACAATGAGCTCCCACATCTTGATATCTCATGCCCAGATGAACATATTGACAGCGGTTTTCAATGGCTCATGTGCAAGTGACCATTAACATATGTAAATCTGTCTTATGTGTCCATAGAATGTGTAAATTATGCTATACTAATGCTCATCGGTGTGATCATGAAGTTCCAATCATGAGAGATCATCAGCAACATGGAGCACATCCTGCAAACTTCTGGATGCCTCCTCTTCCACCTCCTCTTCCTGCTCCTCCTCATCTAAGTCATCCGGAGTATCCAGTGCCACTGCAGGTCATCTATTGTTATCAAAAGGTAGGTGTTCTACCTGCAATTGCCAATTGTGATGGGATCTGCGCATTCGGTGTGCTGGAGCTTTCTCCGAGACCTGTGTGAGTGCTTATACCTGGGGATATTGTCCCGGTGAAGCCAGGAAGTGTTGATATCTCATGGAGCTGCTTTAGGTGGTGTGAGTTGAACCATCCTCAGACATTTCAATGTATAGCGACTTGATGGGTGAGAGTTGGACTGACAGCCTTCAACTGATCCTCAAATGCCCGCAGGTATTTGTCTTTGTCTCGGATGTATGTCACTAGGTGCCGTACCTCCACGTTCAAGTATTGAATCTCCTCCCATGCCTGGCACATTTTGAAATACAGGTCCATCGCCCTCCGAGCAACAGGTGATGCCCAAGGCTGTTGAGACACGTCTGCACGCATGTTGCATAAGAGGTCAAAGTTGGCTAGAAACGCATACTCCACGATCTTGTCCCACTTAAGTGTTTTGTGGGGAGGGTGCATTGCCTCGGTGATGGCATTATATGTGTTGAGGGTGGTTCAGATGGTAATGAAGTGTGTTTGTAATGCCTTGGCGATGTATTTACATAGCTTGTAGCCTTGAGTGATATTAGAATTGCCAGTCGCAAGCAAGACATTGTCTAAACAAACTCACCTGTAGCTGCCCGATTCATCCTTGTTAGTTCAAATATGCACACGATGATCAGTCCTTCAAGGTGATCCAATGCATGTTGATACTTCCTATGAGCAACAAGCCTCCCCACCCTCTGCCAATCTGCATCCTCAGGGGTCCAGCACATTGTGATCTTGAGTTTGTGTTCGAGTGCTTGAACAAGTTTCAAATTCCTCTTGTGGTCCTCAACAGTGTGACGTTGTGCAGTCTCCAATTTGCAGGTATCTTGCATCTGGATATTGTATGACGCGGCCTCTTGGTGATGATAGACCTGAAAGGCTTCCATCGCAGCCTTAAGAGCCTCTCTAAGTGAATGAAGCATCAGTGAACACAAGACTCATATATCTTGGAAGCTACACTCACTCGCTTGCAGTGAAATTCACCAACTTCTGCCAATACTCCATCTGCAAGGTCTCATCTTCGGGTTCTCGCGTTAGACCTTGGAGGTAGGTCTTCTCTTCCTCTAGCCAGCACTCAAAAATGCTCTTGTCCATGAGTCTCAGATCTTGCATGAGCTTTGGTAGAGTTGTGTCGCCATTGTTCAAGATGTCCTGTGCTTGTTTGTAGTTACAGTACAAAAAATTGGCTAATACAATGATTACATCAGCTAACATTCGATTTATGTACTAAATATACTTACAAATATTAGGGTAGTGTTACGCACTCAAATAGATCTGTTATGCGGAGCCCTAAGAGGGGCGTCGTCCGCTAACGTTCGTGACGTAACCGGAAGGGTCCGGTGTAGCGACTGAGACTGGCGACGTCGAGTCGGCAGATATCAGAGACGCGCGTGTCACGTGACTTCTAAGACAGATGTCTTCAAAGTCACTGACGTTCTCAAAGTAAGGACAGTCTTGTCCGAACGATGAGGTGGTCGATCGAGGTAGACTTAGGCGCGATGAGCACCTAAGAAAAGATACTAGAGACTGAAGCTGAGGGGGCTTCAGAGGGAAGTATGTTCGAGGGAAGATTGAGTAGATTCAAGTTAGGGAATCTAGTACAGAGTGACCGACTACTTATACTAAGTGGAAAGGGTTAAGGGCAAGGCTACCGTACTGTAGGTAAGGGCAAAGGGGAAACGGAAAGGGTATAGGTACGATGGTGGCAGAGCCTGATTAGTGATGTAAGGTCGAATGCGGAATGAGACCGAGAAACGTTGGAACGAGCCAACGGTAAATGATACAACGTGCAGCATGCACGAGTCAAAGGAAAGATAAGACAAGATAAGGAAAGCCACATTGGTGGCACAAGTCAGAACGAGTCATAGCCCGAAGGCACGTGCGCACGTTGGTGCGATTGGGAGGGGGAAGCGAGGGACGGGAACGGTCCCGAGGATCCGGTCAACGGATAGTCGGTAGAGAAGTGCGAGCCGGAGGCATACGAGGGCGAGGACGAAGGGGAAAAATGATAGGGGGGCCATGTAGCCGATGTTACTTGTAACAGGTAGACCTCAAAATCGTCGTTGTGCTCGAAAAAACAGTCGATAGCCTGCTGCTGATGGAACACACTTGCATAGGGTAACACAGATGCCAGCGAATTCGATTTTGAGAACGTTCTTTCACATGTTTCGAGATCCTCGAGGCCCAGACCCTTGATGTATGTTGTGAGTGAAAACAGCTGGCACAAGCGCCTGTGAGCATGTCCATGGAAGGCGCCAACCAGGCAGGTATGTTGAAGCGAGCGAGTGAGCGGTCCAAGGGAGCTGCTGTCGAGTGTCATCTTAAACTGGCAACCAATGTCATACCCGCTTCCTAATTGTTTTCCGAATACATCCAGCAACTTTGCAACAACAGCAAGGGAATACTTTGCACTATCCAAACACTCATTAATAGCTGAGAAAACAATAGCACTACTTACAGTTCACCGCTCTATACCATGTCCGTGACAAGTAACACAAATATGTGACGGCAAACAGCCACAAATATACCTGTTTCGTTGTATATCCCCCACGCTTTCTTTGTTTTAGCGTCACCCATATTTTTCCATCATCCAGCACAAGAGTCTTCAATGGCTGCATCTTCCTTGTCACCTACAGTAGTTGTTGTTTCGGACTCTCGAGAATACCGGTCTACAAATGCACGAGGTAAGTACTGGTCACTTGTGAATTGTTGGCCCATAGGAACTTCAGATGAGGGAGCGAGAGAGTTGTCAGTGTCATGGTCTAAAGACCTCCACAGGATTTGTTTTAAAGAGTCGTTACCATCCATAGAATATAGTAATCTGAATGTTAGTGCTTCTTCGTCATCGAGTTCATATGTACATGTAGGGCATGCATGTTTAAGGTGCCAGTCAGGTGAGTTGCGCTGAAGCGATTCGGCTATGATAGCTGTCACAGAGCATCGAATTTGAAGATATAAGTCGAACATGATAGAAAATTGATGCAATAGATGTCTATGAAATTCCACCTGCATATGATCAGCACAATAAGTAGAGAAATCAAAATAGTTACCCCATGCAAGTCACACATGGTTTTCACGAAAGCTTGAATAGACAAATGGGGACTTCTAAGATGTGCGACATGGTATAAGTCAAGGGCTTCTGTAGTGATCCCTACAGTTGGGGATATTGGTGAACATGGCATGACACTTTGATGCACCATTGCAGAGCAGATGGTGGTGTCTATTGGTAAGATTCGAAGAGTCACTTTTGAAGTGTCTAATACAATGAGTCACGCTGACATCAATATTAAAAGTAAGCAAACAACAACAAGATCACTCACAGAACACGTCAATAACACTAATCGACCATTCACCATTGTCTGAGTTGCTCTCCAGCTCCTCATTCCACAATCTCTTGAAAAAACTCTTGAACTCTTCCTTGGATTTTGCCAGGCTCCAGGCAAGGTAAGCATCGATCATCGCAGGCATCTGCTCTGTAAATGCCTGGTTTCTGCATAGGATGCTGTAGAGACTAATATCTCTGTGGGCTTGCAGGGATCTAAATCCCCATTGTCACTATCACTTCCCAATATACATAGCGCGACTCATATCTCACACAGCGCACTCAAGTGCTTCGTCGGCCACTCGCAAGCGCCAGCGCTCTGGTCACTCCTTAGTTGCGCATTGGCGTGCACATCCTCGGTTCCGTCGCACGTCCTCCGTCCATCCATTCCATGTCCGTTCGGTTCGTCAGTGCGTATTCCGATTCTATTTTCATTAATTCTGACATATCCCTGGCGCTTATGGGCATGTTTTGTATGTTTTCCGTTATGGACCCTTATTACATATTATCTCGCGTCCGCTTTGCTTCTTGGTTCGCTTTAGCACTTGACAGCGCTTAAGATTACTTAGTATATATAGACGCACATGAATTGTATAAGGAGCATCTTTCTGCCCACACATCATTGGACTATAAGTCTAAGTTATCTTCTAAAAATCTAAAGTATCTAAGTACAATACGAGCGCCGCCGCCATACATTACTAGAAACTCTGTCCATTAGTATTCTGACTCATTAAGAGTCGCTATGCTCCACCACCCGCACACGCACTGCTTCCACTTAAGCACGCGCTTCCATTATAAGTCGCGCGTTGATATCTATCGTCGGCCACTATCGCTCATCGGCGCTCCACATCGCTTTCACTCACTCACGCTTCGCTCATCGTCGCGCGCCTTACCAGGCCTGATCAAGCGCCCGGTTCAGTGTTTCCCTCCATTTTATACACTTAGAGGAACCTTCTCAGTAGCAATCCCCTTGGGCCGACATATATCTCGCTCACCAAGGACTACTTGAGTTATCTCATACCACCTATATTCACCCACTTCCCATTCCTCTTCTACAATGGGGACACACTTAATGTACATATATGTTCCTGCCCTCATGTGTAATGTCATATGTGCTATTATGTATATGTCAAAGTACTAATGACCTAATTGTAAATCCCAAATCCCAAATCTCAAGTACCAAGGCCCGAGTACCGAACACCGAATGCCAGGCACCGAGTACCGAGTACCAAGGCCCAAGTGCCGAGCCCCGAGCACCGAACACCGAGTACCGAGTACCAAGCACCAGGTACTGAGCACCAAGTACCAAGCACAGAAAACTGGACAGCGAGTACTGGGTAGGTAGAGTATACAAGTACCAAGGACTACCTACTGAGTAGGTACAGTATACAAGTACCAAGTATTAAGTACTTAGCAGGTAAAGTATACTGCAATGTGTTTACTATCAGACATTGATCAATATTTACATGTTACTTGAGTCCTCAAAGGCCTCAATGAGGGTATCTAATACCTTCAGCATTTCGGAGGTTGACTCCCTTACCCTTTGCATCCTCCGGAGGTCAGCATCTGCTTTCCGCAGCTTGTCGCATGTTTCAGCCCATGCCATCCTGAATGGTCTGTCAGCCTCAAGAATTTGTGCTACTGTAGGGGCAGGAAGATCTCCATGACGCTGTTGGTAATCACCCAGGCGATCTACAGTTGATTGAACTTGCAGGATATTAGCAGAGATAAATAATCAAATGTTGCATACTTACCTTCAGCTTGATCATAAGATCCGATTGGCATGAACTCCTGAACCATGGCACGCAGTGCTTCATTGTTGAGTTCTGGCTCAGGCAATTGACATTCGGCAGTTTCTGAAATAGCTTGGGAGATAACATGAGTAAAGAACATGAAATGATATGACTATACCTACAAGGTATGGGTGCCTCTGGTACAACCAGAGTGGCCGGATGAGGCTCCAGAGTCGATTCATTCACTGGGGAAATGCCATGAAAGGTGAACATAAAATAGAAAGAATGACCTCACCAGCCATAGGAAAATCGGGTACAACCAGAGCATCATCAGACGAAATCAAGGTATCCTCCGGACCAAGATACAAGTCCGGGTC